CGAGGCTCCTACACAGTGTAGTGGTGAGTGTACAGTGTAGTGGTGAGTGAACAGTGTAGTAGGTGTAGGATGTGTACATGAGGTGTAGGATGTGTACATGAGGTGTAGGAGGTGTACATGAGGTGTAGCTAGTATACAATAGGTTTAGGTAGTGTTAATCCACATGAAATCCAACAAATCCAGACTAAATCCACTTATGTTTACTCTTACACGAACGCCTACCTAAAAAAAAAACGATAATAAATCCGGATTCTATTCACGAACAGGAGAGGCAGAGTTTATAGAGCTGATGCCTCGTATATCACAGGAGCATTACGGGTGGTTCGTCACGTCGACACAAGCCAATGCAACTATCGTGTCAGTTGATGCTACTACTGCTCTGGTGAGGTGTGTGTGTGTGTGTGTGAGTGTGTGTGTGTGTGAGGTGTGTGTGTGTGGGGTGGAGGAGGGGGGGACAGGGGTGTGTGTGGGGGAAGGGGGGGGAGGGTGTGGGGGTGGGCAGGGGTGTGTTTGTGTGGGGAGGGGGTAGGGTGGGGGAAGGGGGGAGGGGTGTGGGGGGTGGGCAGGGGTGTGTTTGTGGGGGAGGGAGGTGTGGGAAGGGGGCAGGGGGTGTTTGTGGGAGGGTGTGTGTGGGTGTGTGTGTGTGTGTGTGTGTGTGTGTGTGTGTGTGTGTGTGTGTGTGTGTGTGTGTGTGTTTGTCTTAACCACCCTGGTTCATCTAACCCACCTTACCCACCTGGAACAGCCCACCTAACCCACCTACACCCTCAAAATAGAACCACCATTAAATCTAACTCACTTAATCTCAACCCTACCTTAAAATTCACCTAATCCACCCCCACCGAACCCACTTTACCCACCTGGAAGAGCCCACCTAACCCACCTACACCCCTGTACAGGCCGTGAGCGGTGTGGTGACCTTCCTAAGTGCCAAGGACATCACGGGCGTAAACAACATCCAAGTTATGGCTACACCCGAGTTCGCCCAGCCAGTAAGTAACCGTGTTTGTCCTTTTTTTTTTACCTTTTTACGATTTTTGGCCTTTTTTGACCTTTTTGGCCTTTTTTGACTTATGGGAAATTTTGTGAATATTTTAAAGTGAGTTTGAGTAATATTAGAACTTTCCCAACTATCTATCTATCTATATAACCACCAACCCCAAAACAGCTCTTTGCCGAGGGACGAACGGGGTACTACGGCCAGCCAATCGGATTAATCGTTGCAACCACCACCGAAATCGCCCAATCAGCAGCCAGCTTAGTAGTGGTGACCTACGATGACCCCAAACCACCTGTGTTGACCATAGATGAAGCCCTCAAGAAGCCTCTACCACCGGGACAGTTTGACCCCTTTGTAGAGGGTGATGTTGATGGTGAGAGAGAGTGAGAGAGAGTGAGAGAAAGAAAGAGAGCCTTCTGGTAGTCATTTAAAGGCACCAATCATAGAACATCCTTATCAAAACAATATACATTAACCAATCACATCACTCCATATCCATGACGTAAAATCTCTCAACCAATCATATAACTCCTAATCCATGATCTCACATCTCATAACCAATCACATCACTCCATATCCATGACGTCAAATCTCACACCCAATCATATAGCTCCAAATCCATGACCTCACTTCTTATAACCAATCACATCACTCCATATCCATGACGTCAAATCTCACACCCAATCATATAGCTCCAAATCCATGACCTCACTTCTTATAACCAATCACATCACTCCATATCCATGACATCAAATCTCACAACCAATCATATAACTCCAAATCCATGACCTCACTTCTCATATCAATCACATCACTCCAAATCCATGACGTCACATAAAATAACCAATCACGTGTCTTCCTCAGCTGGATTCGCGGCATCTACGCATATCATTGAGGGAGAATTACGTCTGGTGGACAATATCACTTCCACTTAGAGAACCAGGTGAGTATGGCGTATATTTATGACGTATTAATGACGTCACATCAATAAACACACATAGGGTATAACCTCTCTTTAACGAACACCTTTCTAAAGGGTACAGTCAACTATATGGAGGTTTTTACATCTACTGGACCCCGATATAACAACAGGTTGACAATATGACGACAGATAGACAAAAATACGTCAGGTAAGACCAAAAATACGTCAGGTAGACCAAAAAATACGTCAGAGTAGACCAAAAAATACGTCAGGTAGACCAAAAATTACGTCAGGTGGACCAAAAATACGCCAGGTAGACCAAGCCGTCAGGTGAGCCAAAAATACGTCAGGTAGCAGACCAAAATACGCCAATTAGACCAAAAAATACGTCAGGTAGACCAAAAAATACGTCAGGTAGACCAAAAATACGCCAGACAGACCAAAATACGTCAGGTAGACCAAAAAATACGATCAGGTGGGCTAAAAATACGTCAGGTAAACCAAAAAAAATACGTCAAATTAGACCAAAAAATACGCCAGGTAGACCAAAAATACGTCAGGTAGACCAAAAATACGTCCAGGTAGACCAAAAATACGTCAGGTGGACAAAAAATACGTCAGGTAGACCAAAAATACGTCAATTAGACAAAAATACGTCAGGTAGACCAAATTAAGACAAATGTGAATTCATTAAATAAAATTACAATTAAGAAGCCAAAAACAAACCTTAATTTAACATTATATTAACACAACAACTTAACATTTATTTAACATTACAGGTGACGTTAGCCATACCCACAGAAGATGGCTTAGACGTTCATGCTGGTAGCCAATGGATAGCTGGTACTCAGATGGCTATTGGGCAGGTGCTTGGGATATCAGATAACAGGTGGGTAATAATAGTAGTAATAGTAATAGTAGTAGTAGTAGTAGTTGTAATAAAATAATAATAATAATAACAGCAAACACCTAATCAACCAATCCCTAATCCACAGCGTCAACGTAACAGTGAAGCGGATTGGTGGTGGATTCGGTGCCAAGATTGACCAATGTAACATCATATCTACAGCTGCTGCTTTGGCTGCTACCACAATTCGAAAACCAGTTAAGATTGTGGTTGATTTAGATACCAATATGACAATATATGGTGGTAGGGATCCATTCTACTCCACTTATAAGGTAGGTGATGGTGGTAGTAGTAGTAGTAGTAGTAGTAGTAGTAGTAGTAGTAGTAGTAGTAGTAGTAGTAGTAGTAGTAGTAGTAGTAGTAGTAGTAGTAGTAGTAGTAGTAGCAGTTGTTGTTGTCGTAATAAAATAATAATAATAATAATAATATCAGACCAAAACAAACCCTCCCTCACCTCTCCTCCCTCTCTAGGTAGGGGTAGACGACCAGGGCCTCCTACAAGCAGTTCAGGCAACCATAACAAGCGATTCTGGTTACACTGGCACTGACCCTAACTGCCCATTAGCCCCGGATTGCGTACCATCTTGTTACGCTTGTCCCAACTTTCTCGTGACGCCGCAGTTTGTTTTGACGAATACGTCGTGTAATACCTACTGTAGGACCCCAGGTGAGTGGATGGATAGGTGGATAGATGGATAGATAGATAGATAGATAGAACCTAACCTAACCTAACCTAACCTAACCTATATTTCAACAAAACTAAAATAGATCTGAGGCAAAAATATGTAAATAGATGAATTAATTTTTAAGATGAAAAAAAAACAATAACAAACTCTCTCTCTCTCTCTCTCTCTCTCTCTCTCTCTCTCTCTCTCTCTCTCTCTACCCCCACAGGAACCTTCGAGGGGGTGACTCTGATGGAAGAGATCTTAGACCACGTAGCAGCAACACTGAATATCGACCCTATTGACATACGAAAGAGGAACCTCATGCTTAATGGGTCAACAATGAGAGTTAACCATTGTTTACTAAGGGCACGTGCTCGTTTGGCTGGGAAAGGTGAGTGGGATAGGTGTGGGATAGTGTGGGATAGTGTGGGATAGTGTGGGATAGTAGGGTATTAATCTAACCTGACCAAAATACAAGGTAATCTAACCTAATCTAACCAAAATACAACGTAATCTAACCTAATCTAACCAAAATACAACGTAATCTAACCTAATCTAACCAAAATACAACGTAATCTAACCTAATCTAACCAAAATACAACGTAATCTAACCAAAATACAACGTAATCTAACCAAACAGAAGCCCTAGCAGCACTGAAGGCACCCCTGACCCTAACAGTGCCAAAGAACTTCATCTCAGATATGATTGACCAATTAATGACCTCAGCTGACGTCGACGCGCGTAAACAAGCAGTTGCTGAGTTCAACCAGGTAAGGTCACCACCAATTAAGGCACTATTTGACCCAATTTGACCCTATTCATGGCTATTTAAACCTCATTACAATCATTATAAACCAATTTAGACTATTTTAGACCATTTAGACGATATTAACCCATTTTTTCACCATTTTAACCCCATTTCCCACCATTTTAACCCATTTCCCACCATTTTAACCCATTTCCCACCATTTTAACCCATTTCCCACCATTTTAACCCATTTCCCACCATTTTAAACCCATTTCCCACCATTTTAAACCCATTTCCCACCATTTTAACCCATTTCCCACCATTTAAACCCCATTTCCCACCATTGAAAACCCATTTCCCACCATTTTAACCCATTTCCTTCTATTTTCACCCTTACCTCAGGCTAACAGATGGAAGAAAAGGGGCATTGCTCTGATGTCCATGAGCTGGCCCCATTCAGTGGACCTACGTTACCCATTCAGTGTCCTCGTGTCCATAAATGCCCGGGATGGCTCCGTGGCCGTGTCTCATGGGGGTACTGAGATGGGACAAGGCATCAATACCAAGGTAGGACATTAGGGAGGGTGTCCTTAATACTCGTAGGATATGTTAACTAAGGTTGGACATTGGGGGGGGGGTGTCCTTAATACTCGTAGGATATGTTAACTAAAATTGGGACATTGGGTGTCATAATACTCGTAGGATATGTTAACTAAGGTAGGACATTGGGGGTGTCTTAATACTCGTAGGATATATTAGCTAAGGTAGGACATTGGGAGGGTGTAATACTCGTAGGATATGTTAACTAAGGTAGGACATTGGGAGGTGTCATAATACTCGTAGGATATGTTAACTAAGGTAGGACATTGAGGTGTCATATACTCGTAGGATATGTTAAACTAAGGTAGGACATTGGGAGGTGTCATAATACTCGTAGGATATGTTAACTAAGGTAGGACATTGAGGTGTCATAATACTCGTAGGATATGTTAACTAAGGTAGGACATTGGAGGTGTCCTTAATACTCGTAGGATATGTTAACTCAAGGTAGGACATTAGGGAGGTGTTCTTAATACTCGTAGGATATGTTAACTAAGGTGGACATTAGGGAGGTTACATATACTCAGGATATGTTAACTAAGGTAGGATATTAGAGTGTCCTTAATACTCGTAGGATATGTTAACTAAGGTAGGAAATAGAGGTCCTTAATACTCGTAGGATATGTTAACTAAGGTAGGACATTGGGGAGAGTGTCCTTAATACTCGTAGGATATGTTAACTAAGGTAGGACATTGGGGGTGTCATAATAGGTGTTAACAAGTAGGACATTGGAGATTATCCATAATATAGGATATGTTAACTAAGGTAGGACATTAGGGAGGTGTCCTTAATACTCGTAGGATATGTTAACTAAGGTAGGACATTGGGAGGTGTTCTTTAATACTCGTAGGATATGTTAACTAGGTAGGACATTAGGAGGGTGTCCTTAATACTCGTAGGATATGTTAACTAAGGTAGGATATTGGGAGGTGTCAAACTCGTAGGATATGTTAACTAAGGTAGGATATTGGGGAGGTGTCCTTAATACCCGTAGGATATGTTAACTAAGGTAGGACATTAGGAGGTGTTCTTAATATCAGGATATGTTAACTAAGGTAGGACATTAGGAGGGTGTTCTTAATACTCGTAGGATATGTTAACTAAGGTAGGATATTTGGAGAGTGTCCTTAATACTCGTAGGATATGTTAACTAAGGTAGGACAATAGGGGGGTGTTCTTAATACTCGTAGGATATGTTAACTAAAAGACAGGATATGGAGGTGTCATACTCGTAGGATATGTTAACTAAAATTAGGAATGGGAGGTTGTACTCGTAGGATATGTTAACTAAATTAGGACATTAGGTGTCCTAATACTCGTAGGATATGTTAACTAAGGTAGGACATTGGAGGTTGTAATATTCGTAGGATATGTTAACTAAGGTAGGACATTAGGAGGTGTTTTAATACTCGTGGATATGTTAACTAAGGTAGGACATTAGGTGTCATAATACTCGTAGGATATGTTAACTAAGGTAGGATATTGGGGGTGTCCTTAATACTCGTAGGATATAAATATGCTAAGGTAGGACATTAGGGAGGGTGTTCTTAATACTCTAGGATATGTTAACTAAGGTAGGATATTGGGGGTGTCCTAATACTCATGGGATATGTTAACTAAGGTAGGATATTAGGTGTCCTTAATACTCGTAGGATATGTTAACTAAGGTAGGACATTAGGAGGTGTTCTTAATACTCGTAGGATATGTTAACTAAGGTAGGATATTGGAGTGTCTTAATACTCGTAGGATATGTTAACTAAGGTAGGACATTGGAGTGTCCTAATACTCGTAGGATATGTTAACTAGGTTGGACATTGGAGTGTCTTAATACTCGTAGGATATGTTAACTAAGGCAGGACAGAAGTGTCCTTAATACTCAGGATATGTTAACTAAGGTAGGACATTGGGTGTGTAATACTCATAGGATATGTTAACTAAGGTTAGGACTGGAAGTGTCATAATACTCGTAGGATATGTTAACTAAGGTAGGACATTGGAGGTGTCTTAATACTCATGGATATGTTAACTAAGGTAGGACATTAGAGTGTCCTTAATACTCGTAGGATTATGTAAATTAGGACATTGGAAGTGTCATAATATAATAGGATATATGTTAACTAAGGTAGGACATTGAAGTGTCTTAATACTGTAGGATATGTATTATTAAGGTAGGACATTGGAGGTGTCTTAATACTCTCGTAGGATATGTTAACTAAGGTGGGACATTGGAGGTGTCATATACTCGTAGGATATGTTAACTAAGGTAGGACATTGGGGTGTCATTAATACTCGTAGGATATGTTAACTAAGGTAGGACATTAGGGAATGTCCTTAATACTCGTAGGATATGTTAACTAAGGTAGGACATTGGGGGTGTCCTTAATACTCGTAGGATATGTTAACTAAGGTAGGACATTGGGAGGGTGTCCTTAATACTCGTAGGATAATGTTAACTAGGTAGGACATTGGGGGTGTCCTTAATACTCTAGGATATGTTAACTAGGTAGGACATTGGGGAGGTGTCCTTAATACTTGTAGGATATGTTAACTAGGTAGGACATTGGAGGTCTCATAATACTCGTAGGATATGTTAACTAAGGTAGGACATTGGGAGTGTCCTAATACTCGTAGGATATGTTAACTAGGTAGGACATTGGAAGTGTCCTTAATCGTAGGATATGTTAACTAAGGTTGGACATTGGGGTGTCCTTAATACTCGTAGGATATGTTAACTAAGGTAGGACATTGGGGGTGTCCTTAATACTCGTAGGATATGTTAACTAAGGTAGGGACATTGGGGGTGTCCTTAATACTCGTAGGATATGTTAACTAGGTTGGACATTGGGGGTGTCCTTAATACTCGTAGGATATGTTAACTAAGGTAGGACATTGGGGGGTGTCATAATACTCGTAGGAATATGTTAACTAAGGTAGGACATTGGGTGTCATAATACTCGTAGGATATGTTAACTAAGGTTAGGACATTGGAGGTGTCATAATACTCGTAGGATATGTTAACTAAGGTAGGACATTGGGGGTGTCATATACTCATAGGATATGTTAACTAAGGTAGGACATTGGAGTGTCCCTAATACTCGTAGGATATGTTAACTAAGGTAGGACATTGGGGGTGTATAATATCGTAGGATATGTTAACTGAAGTGGGACATTGGAGGTGTCACATACTCGTAGGATGTATTAACTGAATTACAGGACATTGGGGAGATTGTCCATTAATACTCGTAGGATATGTTAACTAAGGTAGGACATTGGAGGTTGTAATACTCGTAGGATATGTTAACTAAGGTTGGACATTGGGGGGGGTGTCCTTAATACTCGTAGGATATGTTAACTAGGTAGGACATTGGAGGTGTCCTTAATACTCGTAGGATATGTTAACCAAATTAGGTGTCTAATACTCTGGATATTGGCTAACGACATTGGGGAGGGTGTCCTTAATACTCTAGGATATATGTTATAGGTGGACAAACCAAAAAATTGGGAGGGGTGTCATTATCAGGATATATAATCAGGATATTGGGGGGTGTCATAATACGTAGGATATGTTAACTAAGGTACGACATTGGGGAGTGTCATAACCTGTAGGATATGTTAACTAAGGTTGGACATTGGGGAGATGTTAATACTCATAGGATATGTTAACTAAGGTAGGATTAAAGTGTCATAATACTCGTAGGATATGTTAACTAAGGTACATTGGGAGTGTCATAATACTCATAGGATATGTATGGACATTGGGGAGGGTGTCATAATACTCGTAGGATATGTTAACTAAGGTACGACATTGGGATGATTAGCAATACTCGTAGGATATGTTAACTAAGGTAGGACATTAGGAGGGTGTCCTTAATACTCGTAGGATATGTTAACTAGGTATGACATTGGGGAGGGTGTCCTTAATACTCGTAGGATATTTAAACTAAGGTAAGGACATTGAAGGTGTCCTAATACTCGTAGGATATTTAAACTAAGGTAGGACATTGGAGGTGTCATAATACTCGTAGGATATTTAAACTAAGGTTGGACATTGTTAGATAGATTAGGACATCAAGACTAGACGGTTAGGATATCAATACTGAAGATTAGGACATTGTATTGGGTGATGGAGTCCTTAAACAACCATAGGACATTAGGACATGGGGTAGGATCATTGAACATGGGATGATGATGTCCTAAATGGCCGTAGGATATCCAAACTTGAGATAAGATACTATTAGTTAAGTTAGGACATTAGGGTATTGACTGATGTCCTAAACTAACCATAGGATATGAAAACTGACATACATTCATAGGATAAACCTCACAGCTGGTTCTATAACACGTTAAGAACACGTCTCACAGCTGGTTCTAAAACACGTTAAGAACACGTCTCACAGCTGGTTCTATAATACGTTAAGAACACGTCTCACAGCTGGTTCTATAACACGTTAAGAACACGTCTCACAGCTGGTTCTAAAACACGTTAAGAACACGTCTCACAGCTGGTTCTTACGTTAAGAACACGTCTCACAGCTGGTATTTTAACTAGACAGGTGGTACAGATGGTTACTAGGATATTGTACACGTTTTAACAAATCCAGATGGCTTTAAAACAACAACAAATCCCACAGCTGGTTTTAAAACAAACATTAGTCCCACAGCTGGTTCTAAAACACGTTAGGAACACGTCTCACAGCTGGTATTTTCTCCCCTCACAGGTGGCACAGGTGGCGGCGTACCAGCTGAAGGCCGACATGGATGTAGTGACCATTAGACCAACAAACACACACGTCAATGCTAATTCTTCCTGCACTTGTGGGTCGAAAGGGTCAGATGTTGCTTCCTATGTGAGTATTGTGTGTGTGTGTGTGTGTGTGTGTGTGTGTGTGTGTGTGTGTGTGTGTGTGTGTGTGTGTGTGTGTGTGTGTGTGTGTGTCTGTGTGTGTGTGTGTGTGTGTGTGTGTGTGTGTGTGTGTGTGTGTGTGTGTGTGTGTCCTGTGTGTGTGTGTGTGTGTTTATTAAGATATATTGTGACCTTTAAAACAGTCCTAAAACCTTTCTAACACCATCTAACACCCTCTGACACCATCTAACACCATCTATCATCCATCTAACACCATCCTAACACCCTCTGACACCATCTAACACCCTCTGACACCATCTAACACCCTCTATCACCATCTAACACCATCTAACACCATCTAACACCATCTAACACCATTACAGAGTGTCAGTGAGGCCTGCAAGATCATACAGGCTCGTCTGGATGAAGTGGAAGCATCAGTAGGGAAGAAATTACCCTGGAAGGAACTGATTCTCACAGCTTGGAACATGGGGGTGAATCTGTCTGAGAAATATGAGTAAGTTGGTGGATAGGTGGGTGGATAGGTGGGTGGATAGGCGGGTGGATAGGTGAATAGATGGATGGATGGGTGGGTGGATGGGTGAGTGGATGGAGTGGTGGATAGGTGAGTGGATAGGTGGGTGGATGGGTGGGTGGATAGGTGGGTGGATGGGTGGGTGGATAGTGATGGATGATGGTGGATGGGTGGGTGGATAGGTGGGTGGATAGGTGGGTGGATAGGTGGGTGGATAGGTGGATGGGTGGGTGGATAGATAGATAGACAAATAAACACCCCCTTAAAGAATTAAATACCCTCCTCCCCTTTAAATAACCCTTATTATGCCACGCCCAATAGAAAGAAGGGGGTATATAGCAATCTCTGACGGCTGTATTGGTGTCTGTCTGTACAGGAATGGCCCAGGGGAGGTCAAGAGCTATGCTGTGTTTGGTGTCGCTTGTTCAGAAGTCGAACTGGATGTATTAACGGGGCAGTATCTTGTAAGTACCTTTATAAATAGTATATTGTGGTAGGTACCTTTGTAAATAGTATATAATTGATGGTACCTTTGTAAGTATTCTATTGTGGTACATTTGTAAACATATATAATTGATGCACCTTTGTAAATAGAGTTAATTTTGATGTACCTTTGTAAACATAAATATATTTGGAGCACCTTTGTAAACAGAATTAGTTGTGGTACTGTAAATAGATCATTAAACTACCCATTATAAGTGAACTACCACTAACAACCATTAACCCATGACACAGGTGACCCGAACTGACCTTATTGAGGATGCTGGCCGTAGTCTCAGCCCATTGGTGGACGTGGGCCAAGTGGAGGGTGGGTTTATCATGGGTCAGGGGCTCTTAACTACAGAGAAACCCATTTATGACCCCACGACTGGCAAGAAACTCAGTGCTGGAACATGGGTAAGTGTCCATGGGTTAGGGAGGTATACATGGGTTATTTAGGTGAGTACATAATTATACATGACTTAAATACATAGATATACATAGAATAAATAATCAATTAAATAAGTAACTTTAACTTACCATAATAAATAAAATGAACTGAATTTTTCTCTTTAATAAATAAGTAACCCACACTCCGTTTTCTTTCACTTCCTGTTTTCTTTTTGGTACATGACTAACCCACACTCCGTTTTCTATCACTTCCCGTTTTCTTTTTTGGTACATGACTAACCCACACTCCGTTTTCTTTCACTTCCCGTTTTCTTTTTTGGTACATGACTAACCCGCACCCCGTTTTCTTTCACTTCCCGTTTTCTTTTTGGTACATGACTAACCCACACTCCGTTTTCTATCACTTCCCGTTTTCTTTTTTGGTACATGACTAACCCACACTCCGTTTTCTTTCACTTCCCGTTTTCTTTTTGGGACGTGACTAACCCGCACTCCGTTTTCTATGACAGAACTACTACATCCCGACATCCCATGATATCCCAGCTGACTTTAGGGTCACTCTGCTGTCCAATGCTCCTAACCCAATAGGAGTCCTGTCGTCTAAAGGTACAGTATGTCTGTCTGTCTGTCTCTGTCTGTCTGTGTTAAAGTGTCTTAATTTTGTAATAATAATAATAACAACAACCACCACCACAACAACAACACAACCACCACCACAACAACAACCACCACCCTGTAGCCACCACCACCACAACCTTAGCCACCACAGCAACAACAGCACCACCACAACAAGCAGCAGCCCACCACAACAACAACCACCACCACAACAACAACCACCACCACCACCACAACAACCACCACCACCAACAACAACCACCACCACAACAACAAATTTTTAAGGGTAAACTAACCTAAAATTTACCCCAATTTCTTTTTTATCCCAACAGTGACAGCTGAGCCCCCAGTCACCCTGTCCTTCTCAATAGTAATGGCTCTTCGTCAGGCGATCGCGAGCGCCAGGAAAGACGCTGGCACTCCCGGCTGGTTCAATATGAGTAAGGAACCCTCTGTCTGTTAAAGCTTGCATGTGATTGGCTGTTGTGAGAATGCTACTTGCTTTCTGATTGGTTATGTATATTAACATGAGCTATGTAGACTGTATACCTGCATAATGATTTTACTAATTATTATTATCATCATTATTATTATCATTATTATTATTATTATTATTATTATTATTATCATTATTATTATCATTTCAGACTCGCCATTGACTGTGGAAGTTCTACAGCGTTTGTGTCTAGTTGATCCATCTAGTTTAGTCATCCATTAAACCAAGAAATAACAGAAAATGGGAAATTAAACCAAGAAATAACAAAGAATGGGAAATTAAACCAAGAAATTACAGAAAAAATGGGAAATTAAACCAAGAAATAAAAGAAAATGGGAAATTAAACCAAGAAATAACAGAGAAAATGGGAAATTAAACCAAGAAATAACAGAAAATGGGAAATTAAACCAAGAAATAACAGAAAATGGGAAATTAAACCAAGAAATAACAGAAAATGGGAAATTAAACCAAGAAATAACAGAAAATAAGAATTAAACCAAGAAATAATATAAAATGGGAAATTAAACCAAAAAATAACAGAAAATAAGAATTAAACCAAGAAATAATATAAAATGGGAAATTAAACCAAGGATAATTATTTTAGCCATTTAATTCCTAGTAAAGTCAATTGTTTAAATGTCTATTGATGTCTTTTTTGATGAGTAAATGGCTTAATATTGTATTGATGTTTATTAGGGAGGAAATGGCTTCGTGATTCACCTATGTCTCAAAGTTAAGCCATAACCTAACCTAACCTAACCTAACCTAACCTAACCTTTTGAGGAAGGAAATGCCTTTGTAATTTACCTATGTCTATAATTTAAGCCATTGTTTAATTACTAATACAATAACCTAACCTAACCTAACCTAAACCAAACGTAATCTAACCAAACCTAACCTAAACCAAACGTAATCTAACCTAAACTAAACGTAATCTAACCAAACCTAACCTAAACTAAACGTAATCTAACCAAACCAAACCTAACGTAATCTAACCAAACCTAACCTAAACCAAACGTAATCTAACCAAACCAAACCTAACGTAATCTAACCAAAACCAAACATAATCTAACCAAACCATTTGAAGAAGAAAATAGCCCAGAATTAGTTAAATATGTAGATTAAGTATAAAAATGGTTTTAGGTAGGCCTAAGTTATTTAATTTCTAGTGGATTAAGTCTATTATCAAAGCTATTTAAGGCTATTAATTATAAAATAGCTTAATTTAGTCATTTAATACAATATGTAACTGTCCCTAAAATGGCCAAATATCTGTAATAGTCTTAATATAAAATGACTCTAAGATACCATTTAATTCCTAGTAGATTAAATAGGCTTCAGTGGCTATTAGACACTAGATTACGGTGATAAATAGCACAACTTGGCTATTTATCAATAGTTAGTCCATTTAATTGAGCTATTTATAAGATATATATTCAATAATGTATAAAATGGCTTGAAAATAGCAGAAAATAGTTATAAAATAGCATTAATAGCAACTAAGTCATTTACTGAGTTATATATTAAGAGCTATTTAAATATTTACTCAGAATTAGATACTAGTACAGTAAAAACTCTATTTACCGGACTATATAGAGGAAAATCCGTTATAGAGAGATGTTCGTTAAATGTGAATCCTCCATCTAACTATATTGATGAAAGTCCTTTATATCGAAGGTCTTTTATGAAACCTGTATTTAACGTATTATATGAAGAGCTATCCGTTATATGGAGTTTTTACTGTATCAGGGTTATATAAATTTGCTATATTATCAATGATTTTAATTATATATCAATAAATTTCTATATAAACAGTGTATATAGGCAGTTAAATAATTAATATAAATTTAAATGGCCTAAAAAAAAATAAATAATAATAATAATAATAATCTTTCATTTACCATAATTGTGTCCCATTGTTTATATACCTACATTATCTATCTATCAATATATCTATCTATCTAATTATCTATCTATATATCTATCTATCTAATTATCTATCTATATATCTATCTATCAAATTACACCAGACGCCAAGACTATCGATTTGTTTACACACAAAGACGTCGTTGTCATGGTAACCAGACGCCGTTGTCATGGTAACCAGACGCTACAGTTGCCAGATAGCAATTTCACTTAATATAAAAACGACATTTATTTCCACAAAATTGATATAATTCTGTTATTAATGATTCAATATAAATTAATATAAATATACCTGAGTTACCAGTTAGTGAATATAGATTAATATATAGATAGAACTGTTGCCAAAGAGATATAAATCAATATTAAGAGTTGCCAGTTAGTAAACACAAAATCGAAAATGTTTGAGGAATATTGGTCAATATTAATCTTGCCTGAGGTATATTGATCAATACAGATAGTAAATATATTAAGTAAATACTGCTAAAGATGACTGCAGGCCCGTTAGCTCAGTTGGTTAGAGCGCCGTGCTGATAACGCGGAGGTCGTGGGTTCGATCCCCATGCGGGCCACTATATATTTGGCTTTAAATATGATATAATTTGTATTTTTATCTTATGCATAAATTATAAAAATTACTCATGTATATTCTATCATATTTATGTGTTGTATTCAGTCTAATATTAACGTAGAAGCCATAGCACCATCACCGTCTGGAGTACTCTCACCCTGTCTGGAGTACTGTCACCCTGTCTGGAGTACTGTTACCCTGTCTGGAGTACTGTCACCCTGTCTGGAGTACTGTCACCCCATCTGGAGTACTGTCACCCTGTCTGGAGGTCAACACCCTGTCTGGAGTACTGTCACCCCTGTCTGGAGTACTGTTACCCTGTTCAGCACTGCCCCATCTGGGAGTACTACCACCCTGTCTGAGTACCACCCTGTCTGGAGTACTGTCACCCTGTCTGGAGTACTGTCACCCTGTCTGGAGTACTGTCACCCTGTCTGGAGTACTGTCACCCCATCTGGAGTACTGTCACCCTGTCTGAGTAATTCCCATCTGAGTACTGTCACCACGTCAGGAGTACTGTCACCTCGTCAGGAGTACTGGGTCACCCTGTCTGGAGTACTGTCACCCCATCTTGGAGTACTGTCACCCCGTCTGAGTACTCTCATTGTCACTCCTGTCTGAGTACTGTCAATTCTGTCTGGAGTACTGTCAACTCTGTCTGAAAGATTGTCACCCCATCTGGAGTACTGTCACCACGTCAGGTGCACTGTCACCCGTCAGGAGTAATGGTCACCTGTCTGGAGCATTGTCACCCATCTGGAGTACTGTCACCCCTGTCTGGAGTACTGTCACCCTGTCTGGAGTACTGTCACCTGTCTGAGTACTGTCACCTCGATCTGAGCACTGTCACCCCATCTGAGTACTGTCACCCTGTTCGAGTACTGTCACCCCATCTGAGGCTCTCGTCACCCCCATCTGGAGTACTGTCACCCCATCTGGAGTACTGTCACCCTGTCTAGAGTACTGTCACCCCATCTGGAGTACTGTCACCCCATCTGGAGTACTGTCACCCCATCTGGAGTACTGTCACCCCATCTGGAGTACTGTCACCCCATCTGGAGTTCTCATACTACAGACAGACAAGGGGTGATCTAAACCAACTCACATCTGTTCTGTAAATGTCGATAAGGATAAAGATCTTTGTGGTGTGACAAATTAACCTAACCTAACCTAACCTAACCTAACCTAACCTAACCTCTAGTATGTCACTGAAGCCACACATCCTCAACATTGCTAAAGCTGCCTCCTGAAAGCTGGGAATACTGTACAGATGCCATAGCTACTTCACTCCTGTACAGTTGGTTCAAGTATATAAGGGATTCATTCGTCCTAACTTGGAGTACTGCTCTCATATCTGGGGTGGCTCTGTTAGATAGGGTGGAATCAAAGGCATTTTAACTCTCCTCCTTTAGTTGATAATCTTTCTTCCCTTTCTCTTCACCACAATGTTGCTTCACTCTCTCTCTTTTACAGGTACTTTAACGGGCAATGTTTGGTGGATTTAGCAGCCTGTATACCCCCGGCCAGGCCATGGGCTCGTAACACACATCTTACCCACGGTGCCCACTGTTTCTCTGTGGATATGGGTCACACTATAATAACCCATTACAGTACCTCCTTCACTCCTCACACTGTACAATACTCTGCCTTCTGTGTTCCCGTCATCTTCTCAGTGTAGATTAATATAAACTTTTCCTTTTTTATTGGTAATTTCTCTTTATTCTTATTTTATCTCCCCCTTATGCCCCGTTGTGGGTGAATGACCTGTGCCCGGGTGAATGACCTGTGCCCGGGTGAATGACCTGTGCCCGGGTGAATGACCTGTGCCTGGGTGAATGACCTGTGCTCCGGGTGAATGACCTGTGCCCAGGAATGACCTGTGCCTGGGTGAATGACCTGTGCCCCAAGTGAATGACCCAGCCCGGGTGAACTGAACCCAGCCCGGGTGAATGACCTGTGCCCGGGTGGATGACCTGTGCCCGGGTGAATGACCTGTGCCTGCGGAATGACCCAGCCCGGGTGAATGACCCTGTGCCCGGGTGAATGACCTGTGCCTGCAAGAATGACCTGTGCCCGGGTGAATGACCTGTGCCCGGGTGAATGACCTGTGCCCGGGTGAATGACCTGTGCCCGGGTGAGTTAGTCCCCGTTAAAACCAAACATATAACTAACACACCTACAGACAAGACACAATAAATAACTCACAAAAAACATTAAAAAATCATGAAAATAAATTAACATATTAACTCGGGACATCACAAGCTAATTTATCATACAAGTAAATACATCATACAGGAGCTACTAGATCTATGGAGCAGTATTAATATATTTGTAGTGATTTATACACTTAAAATCACTTAAAATCACCTTAAAATTGACTTAAATAACAACAGTACCTAAATGCTCTAATAAAAGTCTAAATATAAAAAAAACTCAAAAATATTATACATTGACATACCCTCCACTACAAACTCTTATTACTCACTTATAACCACTTAAAACACACTTAAATACACTTAAAACTCACTTAATACCTTGATTCCATCCGCTTTAGTGTTTATTAATGTTTTTCTATCCTTAAAACACCGAAAAAACACAAAAACTACTGAAAAGATCGAGCAAAATTGACCTTCCCGCCATTTTCTCGCCCTTTCAGCTGACGAGAAATAACATGAGGAACTAAGTTACGGTAAATATTTATTCTTTTATTTTTATTTTTATTCAAACTTATGATTAATTTTATTTATTTTATATAATTATATAATTTTATTTTATATATTTTTACGTTTATTTTATTTTTTAGTGATTTATTTATTATTATTTAAGACTTGTTTTGATTTATATAGATGTATGGAGGAATAAAGATACATAGATAGATAAATATATACATATATAGATAGATAGAGATAAATAGACATATATGTAGATAATTAGATAGATAGATAGATAGATAAATAGATAGATAGATAGAAAAGATAGATAGATACGCAAGTCGTTCCTCACTTGTCCATCATGGCGTCTCTACCCAAACGCTTCCGTGAACAAATTTTTTTAATCTCGAAACATCCACCTTATTTATAGACATTAATGATATATTCCTTCATATAAAAATACAATAAACATTTAAAAATATTTATAGATATATATAGATGATTTATATAGATGTTTATATAGGTAAATTAATATAAACCGGCAGATGCTTTAAGAGTTGCCAGTTAATGTTTTTCTCTCTCAATGGCGTCCAGAGCGTCGTGAAATATTACCAATTATTTTTTGTTTTTTTCGCCGAATTTTGTACCCTGAGGTAAGTATCATTAATTAAATAGAGTTAAGTGATTAATTACCTTTATTTTGAGGTGTTAATGATGTTAAATAGAGATTAATTAAGCGAGGTATTGAGGGAAATAAACGAGTTACCTAGATTATTTGTTTATATTTTCTATTTAATTTTGACCTTTAATTAATCTCTAAGGTAAGTTTAATTAGGCTATATGGTCGTTAGGTGTTAATTAGGGTCGGTTTTAGTGATTAGTGTGAGTTAGGAATTGATTATAGAGACGTTGGGTTTGTCTATGTATATATGTATGTATATTGTGTGTATGTATATTGTCTGTGTATGTATGTATGTTGTCTGTATGTATGTATATTGTCTGTATGTATGTATGTATGTATGTATATTGTCTGTATGTATGTATGTTGTCTGTATGTATGTATGTACGTATGTATGTATGTATGTATGTACGTATGTATGTATGTATATTGTCTATGTATGTACGTATGTATGTATGTATATTGCCTGTGTATGTATGTATGTATGTCTATATTCTAATTAAATTCCATTATTATCATTATTATTATTATTATTATCATTATTCTTTACTATTATCATTATTATTATCATTATTCTTTTCTATTATCATTATTATTATCATTATTCTTTACTATTATCATTATTATTATCATTATTCTTTATTATCATTATTCTTATCATTATTCTTTACTATTATCATTATTATTATCATTATTCTTTACTATTATCATTATTCTTTACTATTATCATTATTCTTTACTATTATCATTATTATTATCATTATTCTTACTATTATCATTATTATTATCATTATTCTTTACTATTATCATTATTATTATCATTATTCTTTACTATTATTATTATTATCATTATTCTGTACTATTATCATTATTATTATCATTATTCTTTATTATCATTATTCTTATCATTATTCTTACTCCACAGATCAAGTATAAAAGACACTACCACCACACCCAGTTGTGGCTATCATCGGAGGAACGTCTGATCGACCGACGGGATGTACCTCTATAACCTCACATTGCAGAGAGCGTCCGGGATCACCCACGCGGTCCACGGGAACTTCTCGGGCACCAGGACTCAGGAGTTGGTCGTGTCGAGGGGCCGGTCGCTCGAACTACTCAGGCCCGACCCTAATACTGGAAAAGTGAGATGATGGGAGGGTTTGATTGGGTTTTGGTTGGGGTTAGGTTAGCTTTGGGGTTAGGTTAGCTTTGAGGTTAGGTTAGCAATAAGTTAGCTTTGAGGTTAGGTTAGGTTAGCAATAAGTTAGCTTTGAGGTTAGGTTAGCAATAAGTTAGCTTTGGGGTTAGGTTAGCAATAAGTTAGCTTTGGGGTTAGGTTAGCAATAAGTTAGCTTTGAGGTTAGGTTAGGTTAGCTTTGGGGTTAGGTTAGCAATAAGTTAGCTTTGGGGTTAGGTTAGCAATAAGTTAGCTTTGAGGTTAGGTTAGGTTAGCAATAAGTTAGCAGGTTAGCAATAAGTTAGCTTTGAGGTTAGGTTAGGTTAGCAATAAGTTAGTTTGAGGGTTAGGTTAGCAATAAGTTAGCTTTGGGGTTAGGTTAGCAATAAGTTAGCTTTGGGGGTTAGTTAGTTAGGTTAAGTTAGCTTAGTTGGGTTAGGTTAGGTTGGCTTTGAGCAGTTGGTTTTTGGGTTAGGTTAGCAAATAAGTTAGCTTTTGGGGTTAGGTTAGCAATAAGTTAGCTTTGGGGTTAGGTTAGCAATAGGTTAGCAATAAGTTAGCTTTGGGGTTAGGTTAGCAATAAGTTAGCTTTGGGGTTAGGTTAGCAATAAGTTAGCTTTGGGGTTAGGTTAGGTTAGCAATATGTTAGCTTTGGGGTTAGGTTAGCAATGAGTTAGCTTTGGGGTTAGGTTAGCATTTGGGTATTTAATAAGTGAAATAATCCAGGGTGTCTAATCTTCAGGTGATACAATAAATAATATACAGTATTTTCTCGAATTAACGAATTATTTAGAGTCATCCTTTTCCGCTAAATCAAATCTCCGTTATTTTTTGCTCGATTTAGCGAACGGGTTCACTAAATCGAGCGAAAAATAACGGAGACTCCTAAAATTCGCTGGACGACCCAAACAATAATAATAAAAAATAAATCCGATCGACAAAATAAACACGACATACACTTGTGAGGTAATTACTGCCGTTTATATCAACAGGTCCACACCATACTGACGACAGACATCTTTGGGGTCATCCGGTCCCTAATGGCTTTCAGGTTAACGGGCGGAAATAAAGGTGAGATTTGAGTAATTGGCGTTATTAATATTTATTTAATTTTTGTGGATTTTAATGACGTGAATCTATTAATTATACTAAATATATTGCTATTATTACTGCTATTTCTACTACTATTACTGCTACTACTACTAATAATAATATTTATTCAGTAAACTCATCATTAAAATTTACAATATTGGTTCAGCATGTATATAAACAATGCAGAATATATATACAGTGATATCCCCATCAGCCGGATCAAATTGGTGCAGAACGCTTCCAGGAATGAGAGATTTCCAGGTAACAAGACGACTCTCCCGAGGCCGGAAATGAAAAATCCCTCATCCCTGGAAATTTCTGGATGTTGGGAAATTTCTCTCGGAATTATCGGGAAAAGGTGCCCCTCGGAAAATCGCTCCCAAAGCCGGAATTTTCACGAGAATTTCGGCTCTGGGGACGATTTTCCGAGAGAATTTCAGTTCCGGTCATCAGAGAGTTCCGGGTTTGAGGGATTCTGACTAACTTACATAATATAAATCAACTGTAGCTTATAATCAAAATACACATTAATTTTTTACTAGTTTACCGCCCCATAGTGCTATCATACTTACGACATCTGTTTATTCTAGATTACGTCGTCGTTGGGTCGGACTCCGGACGGATCACCATCCTTGAGTACAACCAGGCAAAAAATCAGTTCGAACGCATCCACATGGAAACATTCGGCAAGAGCGGATGCCGGCGAATCGTCCCCGGCCAATACCTAGCCATCGATCCTAAGGGACGTGCCGTGATGATTGGTCAGTCGCGTTACCGTTAGACCTCTTTATGACGAACTAAACCACGTAAAAAAAATACATAACCTAAATTTTATTCTCACACGACGTCAATAAACGATTAAATTTCCCGCATTTTTTTGCAGGTGCCGTAGAGAAGCAGAAGTTGGTGTACATCCTGAACCGCGACGCAGCTGCTCGCCTCACCATTTCCTCTCCTCTCGAAGCCCACAAGAGCAACACCCTCGTCTACCACACAGTTGGCGTCGACGTGGGTTTCGAGAATCCGCTGTTCGCCTGTTTGGAGATTGATTACGAGGTGTGTACGGTTGGTTATGGGGTATGGTTGATTATGGGGTGAGTACGGTTGATTACAGGGTCAGTGCGATTAATTACAGGTTCAGTACAATTAATTACAGGTTCAGAATGGTTGTTTTTGCGTCGCCTGATGATTAGGTCAGGCGACGATTAGGCGATGATTAGTTTATTTCACCTAATTAAACGACCTGATTCTACCTATATGAGTTATCTTAAGTTAATTACCTTTGTTTATTTACCTCCGATAACATTTGGATATGAGATCATTCAAACATAATAACATTGAAACATAATAACATGATAACATTTGCATCGATAACATTTACAATTAATAACATTCCTACTAACAACATTCATTTATGACCACAGGAAGCCGACACGGACCCCACAGGAGAGGCGGTTCACAGGACGCAGCAGACGTTAACCTTCTACGAGTTGGACCTCGGGCTGAACCACGTCGTTAGGAAGTACCACGAACCCCTTGAGGAGCACGCGAACTTTCTTATCTCCGTCCCTGGTGAGTCGTCTTGGGGTAATGATGAGTTAGTTATGGGGTCACCTGATGATTAGGTCCGTCCCTGGTGAGTCGTCTTGGGGTGATGATGAGTTAGTTATGGGGTCACCTGATGATTAGGTCCGTCCCTGGTGAGTCGTCTTGGGGTGATGAGTTAGTTATGGGGTCACCTGATGATTAGGCCTCCTTGTATATTGTTTCCTGGTGATCTATCTTAATCTAGCTTAACCTAATCTAGTTCCAACTAAACCTACTTTAATCTAATTTAGTTTTACCTAATCTAACTAACTTAACTTAATCTAACTCTGCGATTGTGTGTTTGATCGACTAAACGTTGTGTGTTCGATCGACTAAACGTTGTGTGTTCGATCGACTTAACCCTTCGTTCGATCGACTTAACCCTTCGTTCGATCGACTTAACCCTCCGTTCGATCGACTTAACACCCCAATTGTTGTGTTTCAGGCGGGAACGACGGGCCATCAGGCGTGTTGGTCTGCTCCGAGAACTACATCACCTACAAGAACTTGGGGGATCAGCCAGATATCCGCTGTCCGATACCCAGGAGGAGGGTGAGGTCGCTGTACACACACATCCACGTACATACATACACAGACACATGTACACACTCATGCAGGAATATTCACACGCGCACACACACAACACACTCACACATGCTCGAACATACATGTATATAGACACACGCACAGACAACACATATGCACACACACACACACACACACACATAACAAGTCTTTTAGATTATTAAATGTTGTTTTTACTTGACCTTCTCCTGTTATTAATTCCTCCACACATCGACCCTCATAGCTCATGTTACCTCCCAGACACACGAATCTTTCCCCATGTTTAAGAATCTGTTGCCTACCATAATTTATTTTTAGGTTTTATTTATAATTTTGAAGCAATATTTACTTTAGTCTTTACAGCAGAAACTATTGGATCATATTTTTCGTCTTTTGACACTAATTTGTTAATCATTTTTTGTAATGTTTCTTAACTATCTGATAAGAGTTGTGTAATTTGCATAGTTGTTTAATTAATATTACTTTACCATTAAATTTTAGTCCTTGATAACTAACCTAACCCAACCCAACCCAACCTAACCTAACATAAACTAACCTGACCTGACCTTTCCAGAATGACCTCGATGACCCGGAACGAGGCATGATCTTCATCTGCGCTGCGACCCACAAAACTCGATCCATGTTTTTCTTCTTGGCACAGACGGAACAGGGGGACATCTTCAAGGTGGGGTCTTTGTTGATGCGTTCGTGCCTATACTGACATTGTTGGCTATACTGTATTGATTTTGGCTATACTGTATTGACATTGTTGGCTATATTTTACTGATGTTGGCTATACTGTACTGGCATAGTGACTATATTGACATTCTTGGCTATGTTATTCTGATTTTCTTGGCTATACTGACGTTGAGATATTAGCTACACCGTCTTTAAATATTAGCTACACAGTCTTACGCTATCGACAACACCGACTCGAAACATCGACGTATACAAACCGCTTCGAACTTCTCGTAACGCGGAGACGTCCCTTTCCAGATCACCTTGGAGACCGACGAGGACGTGGTGACGGAGATCAAACTGAAATACTTCGACACCGTCCCACCAGCGACCGCCATGTGCGTCCTCAAGACCGGGTTCCTGTTTGTGGCATCGGAGTTCGGGAATCATTATCTCTACCAGGTGGATACCCTACCCTACCCAACCAGTTTCATAACTAAGGGGTTAAAAGTGACTTACCCTAACCTACCCTACCCAACCAGGTTCATAGCTAAGGGGTTAAAAATGACCTAACCTAACCTGACCAAATCCAACCTAATCAAATTTGAAATCAGACCAAACCTACCCACCCCATAGCTGAAAGTAAACGCCATTATCCACACTCACCCGACGCCCTTCTTTCCCTCAGATCGCCCATCTCGGTGACGACGACGACGAACCAGAATTCAGCTCGGCGATGCCCCTAGAGGAAGGCGACACGTTCTTCTACGCCCCAAGACAGCTGCAGAATCTGGTGTTGGTCGACGAGCTTGATTCCCTCTCTCCCATAATGGCCTGCCAGATTGCCGATTTGGGTGAGGGTTTTTGCTTTGTGTCATCGATGAATGGGGGTTTATAAGTGAGGCCTCGGTATAATGGATTTCTTTCTCGATATATAATTCGTTAGGTGGGGATTGTTGCGTCTAATGGACCCTCGATATAATGGACTTTCATCTCTATATAGTTCATTACAGAGAGGTTTTACATTTAACAGACCCTCGATATAATGGACTTTCATCTCTATATAATCCATTAATATAGTAAATATAGTTTTTACTGTACTTATGAACTATATCTGATAAATTTAACTCAACCATCGATTAATTTTACCCCAATTACACCTTAATTAATTTACAACGTGGAATATAACCCCATTCACTGGTGATTAGCTTCGAAACTATCCCCCCCCCCCCACCCATCCTCCCTAACCTAACGAGCATTTTATCTCCTGACAGCCAATGAAGACACACCCCAGTTGTATACGGTCTGTGGACGAGGGCCGAGGTCGTCCCTTAGGGTGTTACGTCACGGTCTGGAGGTCAGCGAAATGGCCGTCTCGGAGCTGCCCGGTAACCCCACTGCCGTCTGGACCGTGAGGAAACGCGGTGAAGGTGCGTCCGGCGGTGGTGTTTGTTTTTGTGTGTTTTATTGCGTGTTTTTTATTTTTTTATTTTTTTACATTATTATCACCACTATTACCAACTACCACTATTATCACCACTACCACCACCACCTTCCCCTATCACAAACCACCACTTCACCACTAGCACCAAAAACCTCCACTACCACCACCATTCACCACCACCACCACCACATTGACCCTATACCTACCCACCCTAGATTACAAACGCCCGTCATAATCTCTTGTAAACATAAATAACTAAAAAAGGTTGTTTGGTATTTATCCGACAGCCTTTTCTCTCTCTCTTTTCCAGGTCGAAGCGGAGACGGGCGATAAATAAGGTAACATAAACAACAATGAGAGAGAGGGAGAGAGAGAGAGAGAGGTGTGTGTATGGGGGTGACAAGAGAATAATATCTGATAAATGATGTAAAATTTTAAAGGTATCGATCGGGTATTTTCTCGATTTACGAATGATTCCGGCCGTGTAAAAGATTGCGTTTATTGTCGTAAATGTTCCAAGAAGGTGAATTAGGGGTCGATATAGAGATATAATGGTAGTGTGGAGTTAATAGTTAAGGAATAATGATTGATAAAATATGTAAATTTAGAGGTATTTTGATTTACGAAAGTTTCCGGTTCGGTAAAAAGTCGTATATAATAAAAACTGAAATTTATTCCTATTAAAAAATGTAATTGAGTTTTGTTGTGAGTTGTAAGGAAAAAGGTTATTGAATTTTGTTATAAGAGTAAAAGCAATTGAGTTTTGTTGTAAGTTGTAAAGAAAAATAGTTATTGAATGTTGTAAATTGGAAGAAGGCAATTGAATTTTGTTGTAAGCTGTAAAGAAAAAAGCAATTGAGTTTTGTTATAAATTGTAAAGAAAAAAGCAATTGAGTTTTGTTATAAATTGTAAAGAAAAAAGCAATTGAGTTTTGTTATAAATTGTAAAGAAAAAAGCAATTGAGTTTTGTTATAAATTGTAAAGAAAAAAGCAATTGAGTTTTGTTATAAATTGTAAAGAAAAATAATTATCAACTCCTATAAACAATAAGATAAGCGTAGTAGTTAATATCCTCGAGCTTTAAAGTAGTCCCCTCACACCCCATGTACCAATACGATAATAACCCCATACATTAAGGCCTACCGATTCTCCGCTCCCGACAGACCAATACGACTCCTACATCATCGTTTCCTTCGTCAACGCCACGCTGGTCTTGAGCATCGGGGAAACGGTCGAGGAAGTAACGGACTCGGGATTCCTGGGGACCACGCCCACTCTGGCCTGTTCTCAGCTCGGTGACGACGCTTTGGTTCAGGTGAGTTGATGGTGTTGTTGTTATTGTTATAATTAGTAGTAGTATTTATTATTATTATTACTATTTTTATTATTACTATTATTACTCTTATTATTACTATTATTATTACTATTATTACTATTTTTATTATTATTATTACTATTATTACTATTTATTATTATCATTAACGAGGTAATTCCCCCCCCCACCCCAAAGGTTTATCCAGATGGTATCCGACACATCCGAGCAGATCGCCGAGTCAACGAGTGGAAGGCCCCAGGGAAGAAGACCATCGTTAGATGCGCCTTGAATCAACGTCAGGTCGTTATCGCCCTGACAGGAGGAGAGATCGTCTATTTCGAGATGGATCCCGTAAGTCTCCCGTGATTGGTTAACGATCCGACTACCGTACGTGGCGGTTAACTGCGTCATTCAGTAAGCTCTGCGGTAGTCGTTGAGGTTGACGATTCTTAACTACTGAAAAAATATACCATTATCTTCATCAAATTTCTCATGTGGGAATAATTTTCTTTCTAAACTAACCTGACCTGACCTGTATTTCTTAACAGACAGGACAGCTGAACGAGTACACAGAGAGGAAGGAAATGAAGAGTGACGTGATCTGCATGGGGGTCGGGCGAGTGCCGTCAGGGGAGCAGCGATCGCGCTTCTTGGCCGTCGGACTGTCTGATAACACCGTCCGAATCATCAGCCTTGACCCTAATGTGAGGATTTTGATCTATGTATTGTGGAGACCCTAATATAAGGATTTTGATCGACGTCGTGTAAGACCCTAAAGTACAAATATTGATTGACGTCTTGTAAGAGTCTAAAGTTGTGTGAGACCCTAATGTAAAACTATTGATCGATGTTGTGTTTTAAAGGAGCCTACCCTAACCTAACCCTCATATAGTTCATTATAGAGAAGTTCCATATATAATGAACCTCGATATAGCGTACTAACCTCAAATACTCCATTATACAGTCGTCCGTTATAAGAAAGGTCATTATAAAGAGGTCTGACATTAATTCCTCCCACACCCCAGGACTGCCTGACGGTGCGAGGTATGCAGGCCCTTCCCGCCCTGCCAGAGTCCCTCAGCGTTATCGAGATGGGCGGGCAGGAAGGCTCTGAGAATGAGCCTCGTACTTTGGGCTCTCTCTACCTCAACATTGGCCTCCAGGTAAATCTGTCTGTCTGTTTGGGGTCATTGGTTTGTTATCAGTAAATTGCGGCCTCGAAATACGTCTGTGTTTGTATTTGTTTGGGGTCGATAGTTTAATATCAATAAATCACGGCTACCAAGTACAATGTATGTCTGTGTCTTTGTTTAGGGTCGTTGGTTTGTTATCAATAAATGTCGGCCTGAAGATACGTTTGCTTGTGTTTGTTTGGGGTCGATAGTTCATTATCAATAAATCGCGGCCTCCAGGTAATTCTGTCTTGTTTGAGGTCGTTAGCTCGTTATATCAACAAAGTCAAAAAATATACAAATTACGTAATCAACATTTTAACCCACTTTAACTTCCTCCTCCAGAATGGCGTACTCTTGCGAACCGTCTTGGACTCAGTGACAGGGGATATGTCTGACACCCGTACTCGTTATCTGGGTTCCCGCCCCGTTAAGCTGTTTAGGATCATCATGCAGGGGAACGAGTCGGTGAGTTGTCTTATCTGGGCTAATTACCTGTCGTCGGTGTTGGGTGAAATTTGGTTAGTGTTAGGTTAGATTACGTTAGTGTTGTGTTAGATTCGGTTAAGTTAATGTTAGGTTAGGTTAAATTAGTGTTAAGTTAGGTTAAAGGAAATTAGTGAAGTTAGGTTAGGTCAGATTAAATTAGTTTTAGATTAGGTTAGATTAAATTAGTGGTAGGTTAAGTTAAATTAGTGTTAGGTTAAGTTAGATTAGTGTTACCGTAGGTTAAATTAAGTTAGCATTAGGTTAGGTTATCATTGTACCCATAATCAAAACAGTCCACATAATTTACCCTCTAGTAGATTAAATTAGTGTTAGGTTAAGTTAGTGTTAGGTTAAATTAAATGAGCATTAGGTTAGGTTATCATTGTACCCATAATCAAAACAGTCCACATAATTTACCCTCTAGTAGATTAAATTAGTGTTAGGTTAAGTTAGTGTTAGGTTAAGTTAGTGTTAGGTTAAATTAAATTAGCATTAGGTTAGGTTATCATTCTACCCATACTCAAAACAGTCCACATAATTTACCCTCTAGTAGATTAAATTAGTGTTAGGTTAAGTTAGTGTTAGGTTAAGTTAGTGTTAGGTTAAGTTAGTGTTAGGTTAAGTTAGTGTTAGGTTAAGTTAGTGTTAGGTTAAATTAAATTAGCATTAGGTTAGGTTATCATTCTACCCATAATCAAAACAGTCCACATAATTTACCCTCTAGTAGATTAAATTAGTGTTAGGTTAAGTTAGTGTTAGGTTAAATTAAATTAGCATTAGGTTAGGTTATCATTCTACCCATAATCAAAACAGTCTACCCTCTATTGTAGGTGCTGGCCATGTCATCCCGTTCCTGGCTTTCATACTACTACCAGAACAGATTCCACTTGACTCCCCTATCATACGAGAGTCTGGAGTACGCGGCGGGGTTCTCGTCTGAGCAGTGTCCCGAGGGTATTGTTGCCATCTCCACGAACACCCTCAGAATTTTGGCATTGGAGAAGCTCGGAGCGGTGTTCAATCAGGTGCGTTTGATTGTTTTTTTTTGGTTTAATCGGGTGCGTTTGATTTTTTTTGGTTTAATCGGGTGCGTTTGATTGTTTTTTTGGTTTAATCGGGTGCGTTTGATTGTTTTTTTGGTTTAATCGGGTGCGTTTGATTGGTTTTTGGTTTGTGTTGGTGAGGGTGATATGGTAATTCAACCCAACATAACCTAACCTAACCCAACTTAATCCAACCGCACCATCTTTCCGCAGGTGTCGCATCCCCTGGAGTACACGCCACGCAAGTTCGTCATCCACCCAGAGAGCGGACACCTGGTGGTCATAGAGACAGACCACAACGCTTACACAGACGACACCAAGAGGCAGCGTAAGATGCAGATGGCCGAGGTACGACGACTCTCCGATTGATTGTTTATTTCTCCGCGTTTGTCGTCAATTTTTTTTTTTATTATTATGATTATTATTGTTGTTATTTTTGTTATTATTATTGTTATTATTATTGTTATTATTGTTATTATTGTTGTTATTTAGTAGTATTAGTATTTATTATTATTATTGTATTTGATTGATCAGAAAACTTCATAAATATATTAAATTTTGACCAGAAAGATAGATAGATCGACAGACAGATAGAGAATTATAGACAGACAGACAGACAGATAGATAAATAAATCACAGGATCAATAACAGAACATCCCCCCCCCCCACCCCAAACAGGAACTAAGAGAAGCCGCAGGAGAGGAAGAGACAGAGGTCGCTGACAGGATGGCCGAAGCGCTGTTGTCCGAGGATCTTCCCGACTCGGTGTTCGGAGCCCCCAAAGCCGGGCCGGGCATGTGGGCGTCTCTGGTGCGTATCATCGAGCCCATACAAGGCAACACGCTTCACACGATACGATTGGACCAGAACGAGGCTGCCTTCAGGTGATTAAAGTCAGGGTCGTTTGTGGTTTCGTTGTTAGTGATTAAACCAGCCCCATGGTTCCAGGTCATTGGTTTATGTATTAAACTAACTATGATTAATTGGGGTCATTGGATTAGTTAGATATTTAACTAAATGAGGCTGTTTTCAGGTGATTAAATCAGGGTCGTTTGTGGTTCCGTCGCTAGTGATTAAACCGGCCCCATGTTTCCAGATCATTGGTTTATGTATTAAACTAACTATGATTAATTGGGGCATTGGATTAATTAGATATTAAACTCGGTCTCTGCTCTATGGTTAATTACAGTAGTCTAAGGTTAAAATTCACCTAACCAAGCCAACCCAAACCTAACCTAACCAAACCTAACCTAACCAAAGCTAACCTAACCAATCTTTTTGCAGTATTTCGTTGGTGAAGTTCGCCAATCAGACGGATATGGATCAACAACATCTTCTGGTGGGTACGGTCAAGGACTACCAGCTTAGCCCTAGGATTGTCGACTGTGGCTACATATACTGCTATAGGTGAGTGGTGGGTTGTGGGGTGGGTCGTGGTGGGTTGTGGTGGGTGAGTGGGTCGCGGGTAGGGTCATGGGGTGGGTGAGTGATAAAACCTCCATCTAACGAACTATATAGAGATGAAAGTCCATTATATCGAGGGTCTGTTAGATGTAAAACCTCCATATAATGAACTATATAGAGAATTCATTATATTAAGGTTTCAATAGCTGTAAAACCCCCTTATAACTAATTATACAAAGAAGTCATTATATCAAGGTTTTGGTAGCTATAAAACCCCCTTATAATGAATTATACAGAGAGAGAAGTCATTATATCAAGGTTTCGGTAGATGTGGAACCCCCAGAGGTCATTATATCAAGGTTTCAATAGCTGTTAAACCCCCATATAACGAATTATACAAAGAAAGATGTCATTATATCAAGGTTTCAGTGTGTTTACGATTTGTTTTGTTTTGCGTCAGAGTCGTCGGGGATTGCACCAGCCTAGAGCTCGTCCATCGCACCGAAGTCGAGGACATTCCCACTGCCATCTGCTCGTACAATGGCCGCGTGCTGATTGGTGTGGGCCGCCTGCTGAGAATATACGACCTGGGCAAGAAAAAGCTGTTGCGGAAATGTGAGAATAAGGTAAAGGGGTCACTTGACTATTAAATACCTAACCTAACCAAACTTAATCTAATCTACCCTAACCAAATCTACCCTAATCTAACCAAATCTACCCTAACCTAACCAAATCTACCCTAACCTAACCTAACCTTAGTTTATTTCACATGAAGCTTTTACCCACTCCTGATGCTAACCAAACCTAACCAAACCTAACGTAACCCAACCAAACACAACCCCCACAACTCACGATTCCCCACCAGATTACAACAATTTTCTCCCGTCACATTACAGCACATCCCTAACCTCATCGTGGACATCAAGGCTCGAGGCCAACGGGTGTTTGTCAGCGATGTCCAGGAGAGTCTGTTCGTGCTGCGTTACAAGAGACAAGAGAATCAGCTCATCATATTCGTGGACGACACCAACCAGCGCTGGGTCACCACGTCGTGTCTCCTGGATTTCGACACCGCAGCCGTCGCCGACAAGTTCGGTAATATTGCCGTGGTGAGTATAGACGTGTGTTGGTGTGATTGATGGCTAGTTTGGTCTATATCGCCGTGGTGGTTGCGGACGCGTGTTGGTGTGAATGACGGCAGGTTCGGTAAAGCAGTACGACACGGCGTTACGTTTTAATTCCTTTCCTTGTAGATAAATATGCAATACAGTATAACCGATGGAAATGAATTTTAAGCGATAATCAGAATATTGTGTTTAGATATTGAACAGCTTGGAGGGATTAGGTTAGGTTAGATTAAGTTAAGTGAGATTAGCTAACCTAATCTAATCAATGCAATACAACTCAATCCAACCTAATCTAACCCTCACCCAACCAAACCCAACCTAACTCCAACCTAACCTAACGTAACCCCAACCTAACCATACCATTACTATACCCGTCCCGCTGCACAGGTGAGACTGGGCGGAGATATAAACGACGATGTTGACGAGGATCCTACAGGCAACAAGGCATTATGGGACCGCGGACTGCTGAACGGCGCGTCGCAGAAGGCCGAGGTCATCGCCAACTTTCACGTGGGCGAGACGGTGAACACCCTTGAGGTAAGAATGACGACTGTGTTGTTGTTTTTGTCGATTATTGGGGTAGATTTTTTTTTATTATTATTATTATTATTGCGGGAAGAAAACATAATGTATTGGTGATTGATTTTGTGTTTGTTTTATTAATGCAGGAATAGAAAGTAATTTATTGGTTATTCTTGGTGATTGATAGTTTATTATATTATTATAGGAACAAAAGAGTAATTTATTTCTAGTTTATATTTTATTATTTAGATTATTTTTTTAATGGATGGAGATTGAGTTTATTTTAGTTAGTGAAGGGACAAAACGATTTATTTTGATATATATAATTGAAGGTAAAAAAATACAGCTTATTTTCAATTTATGTTTGATATAGACAGACAGACAAACAGACAGACAGACAGACAGACAGAGAGAGACAGACAGACAGACAGACAGACAGACAGACAGAGACAGAGGGAGAGACAGACAGACAGACAGTAGACAGAGAGAGAGACAGACAGACAAGACAGACAGACAGACAGACAGACAGACAGACAGAGAGAGACAGACAGACAGAGAGAGAGAGACTGGACAGACAGGACAAGACAGACAGACAGGAGAGACAGACAGACAGACAGACAGACAGAGACAGAGACAGACAGAGACAAACAGACAGACAGACAGAGAGAGACAGACAGACGTAGACAGATACATATAATTTCTCAAGCTGTCATGTTCCATAATATATCCAGTATTAAATAAATATATTGTTTATAGCCTTTTATCTTGTGTGTTAATAATAATAATAATAATAATAATAAAATGATGAAAAAACGTTAATAATAATATAATGATGATGAAACGATGATAATAATAATGATAATAATAATAAAATGATGATGAAACGATAATAATAATAACAACTTCTCAAAATAAACATCAAATACCCCTTCCCAATGACAACCATCACCACAATAATAAACGTTCTCTCTCTCTCTCTCTCCTACTCCCTCCTCCCTCCCCCTCCCTCCCTCCCACTTCTCCCTCCCTCCCTCCCTCCCTCCCTCCCACTTCTCCCTCCCTCCCTCCCTCCCCCTCCCTCCCTCCCTCCTCCCTCCTCCCTCCCTCCCTCCCTCCCTCCTCCCTCCCTCCCTCCCTCCCTCCTCCCCTCTCTCAGAAAGCAACGCCGATTCCTCGAGGCAGTGAGTCGCTGGTGTACACAACCTCAGCGGACGTGTCAAGTGTTGGTGCCGCTACGTCGCGAAGACTACTTAACTGTTTCCCCAGAATCTGGAGATGCATATGAGGTCTGAACACCCGCCCCTGTGTGGCCGTGATCACCTGTCCTTCCGATCGTATTTCTTCCCCGTCAAGGTAAATATTGTACCTAACCTAACCTTACCTAACCAAACCAAACCTCATCTAACCTAACCTTCCGATTGTATTTCTTATTGTCCCTAACCTAACCTGACCTCATCCTAACCTAGCCTTACCTAACCCAACCAAACTTAACCTAACCTTGTATTTAAAACATCACTTACACTCTGCCCGTAAGTTTTAAATCGCCTTTATATACACAGTGATAATCCCGTCAGCCGGAACAACAGACACAGAGCACTTACGGGAATGAGAGTTTTCAGGGTAACCAGACGACTCTCTCAAAGGCCAAGAAAAAACTCCCTCATCCCCGGAATTTTCCCGAATTTTCCGGGTATCGGGAAATTTTTCTCGGGATTTTCCGGAAAATTTTAGTTCCGGCCATCGTAGAGTTCCATGTTTGAGGGATTCTGGGTCACGGGGACATTGCCACGTGTTCTCAAGATTGTAGACTAATTTCTTACCTAAACTAAGCTAACCTAACCAAATAAAACCAATCCTAACCTAACCAAAAATAACCAATTCACACCAAATCAAACCCTAATAAAAACAAATAAACAATCCTAACGATCTATTAAATTTCATTGTTTTTTTGTTCTCCTCATTATAGAACGTCATCGATGGGGACATATGTGAACAGCTCAATATGGTCGACCAGGCAAAACAACGCAGCATATCCGAAGACTTAGACAAGACCCCTAACGAACTGTCCAAGAGGTTAGAGGATATCAGAACGCGATATGCCTTCTAGACTGCCTCCCCCACCTCCACCACCATCTACGCGAATGGCCACGCTCGTGGGTAATATATTTCAGCGCCATTCACTTAACGCCTTTTACAGCTGCTGCAACATGGTGTCTTGGCAACGTCATTTTGCTAAGGTGTGGTTAGATACAGGCAACTGTGCATAATATTTTTTAAAAATTTTAATTTTTCTTTTATAACTTAGGGAACAGGAGTGAATCCTATACAATATTTAATGAACTATATAGAGATGAAAGTCCATTATATCGAGGGTCAGTTAGATGTGAAACCTCCATATAACGAACTATATAGAGATGAAGTCCATTATATCGAGGGTCAGTTAGATGTGAAACCTCCATATAACGAACTATATAGAGATGAAAGTCCATTATATCGAGGGTCAGTTAGATGTGAAACCTCCATATAATGAACTATATAGAGATGAAAGTCCATTATATCGAGGGTCAGTTAGATGTGAAACCTCCATATAACGAACTATACCGGGTATAGAGATGAAGTCCATTATATCGAGGTTTCACCATGTAAATGAATTAAGTGCAAATACATTTTCTTGACTGAAAAGAAGATAAACAAATACATTTTCATTAAGCAAACAAAATTATGTATTTAATGAAGAAATAACAAGTTCTTAATGTGTACCTGATGTCAATTGTCTACTTTTAATTACCTATGTTAATTTACTCTCCAGGAGGTAAAATAAATCTTTTTTTTTAATAAATTTTGTAAACATGAATTAATTATTTGTTTCTTCTATGTAGTTATTTTTTTCTCTGGTTAAACGACGTGATTTTGTATAAAACTTTTCATTTAATAAAAAACATAATTGATATATATATAGTTTTTATTTACTTTCTCTGGTGTGTGGGTGTGTGTACGTGTGTGTGGGTGTGTGTACGTGTGTGTGTGTGTGTGGACATTTTTCATCTAAATATGGTGATGTGTAATTTTATAATAATATAAATCTTTTAATTATATATTCAGTATTATTACTGAATTTATTTTATTAATTTATTCCTGTTTTGGTTATATACTCCTTGGCCAAACACTCTTTCCTGTTTTGGTTATATACTCCTTGGCCAAACACTCTTTCCTGTCTTGGTTATATAGACTTATTCCTGTCTTGATTATATAGTCCTTGGACCAACACTCATTCTTGTCTTGGTTATATAGACTTATTCCTGTCTTGGTTATATAGTCCTTGGAACAACACTCATTCTTGTCTTGGTTATATAGACTTATTCCTGTCTTGGTTATATACTCCTTGGAACAACACTCATTCTTGTCTTGGTTATATAGATTTATTCCTGTCTTGGTTATATACTCCTTGGACAGTACCGTGTTGTAACCGACCATCATAACATAGTATAAGCGACCAGATTTCAGATAACAACAACACGGTGTCAAATTTTCATCCTTTTTGCATTTTTTAGCTGATTTAAGGTGAGAATTGGCTATTAACGTGTCCCTGGTTAATCTGTTGGCTTTTCTGTACAAATAGATAGTAGTTAGAGTCGTCAGAAGTAGTTAAGTAGTTAGATAATTAAGGTTAAATAAGGGACCGTGTCAGATTTTTGTTTATTGTTGTGGGGATTTCGTGTATTTTTTGACGGGGTTATTTGGGGGATTTAGGGATTTATTTAATTGTTTTTAGGTTAATTAAGCTGTTAATTATGGCCAAGTAGTTACGTAATTAGCGTAATTATGGTGTAATGTGATGTAATGCATTTTCGTGTCATGTGATTTCAAATGACACGTAATTATTATTTTAATATTTTACGATTTTATTTATTTGTTTATTTATTTATTCCACATATGTTCTTAATATTATCGTAAGTATTTTAAAAGAGGCAACAACTTTTTACTTTAATTATATGTAGTGGATATTTTGCCGTGACTAGCTGAGTTCTTATTTATGCTATTTTACCGTGAGTGAACTCTGATTGGTTAAGTACTAGGTGCCCCCCCCCCCCACCGGCTAGGAAATTAACTCAGATAAGGGTAGGTAGGTTTCTTTGATTAGGTTAGAATTAGGGTGGTTAGGTTAGGTTAGCATTAGGTTAGTTAGGTAGGTAGGTAAGGTTAGCATTAGGTTAGGTTAAAATTAGGTTAGCACTAGGTTAATTTAGCACTGGGTTAGGTTAGTTTAGCACTAGGTTAGCTTGGCACTAGGTTAGTTTAGCACTAGGTTAGCTTAGCACTAGGTTAGTTTAGCACTAGGTTAGCTTTGCACTAGGTTAGGTTGGTATTAGGGCGGTCCGACTAATTACCCAAATGTAACCAAATGTAGCCGGAATGAAGTCAAATAATGGTCCAACATGAATAAATCGGACTGCTAATCACTTCTCGGTTAGTATTTGGTGTCACAAAGTCACAAAAAATTGGAAACTTACTTTAATCTGAGTTAATAGATCGCGTGCATGTACCTAACCTAACCTCGACTAGTATTTGGTGTCACGAAGTAAAAAAAATTGGTAAACTTAATTAAATCTGAGTTAATAGATCAAGTGCATGTACCTAACCTAACCTAATCTAATCTAATCAAACCTAACCTAACCTAACACAACACAAATCAGATTAAATTAAGTTTACCAATTATTTTTTGACTTTATGACACCAAATAATAATCGATAAGTGATTCACAGCCCGAATTACGCTTGTACGACCATCATTTGACTTCATTCCGGCTATATTTGGCTACACTTGGGTACATTTGGGTAATTCCTCGCTCCGTCGGTACATGCACGCGATCTATTAACTCAGATTAAAGTAAGTTTCCAATTTTTTGTGACTTTCTGACACCAAATACTAGTCGACAAGTGATTGGCAGTCCGATTTATTCATCTAGGACCATTATTTGACTTCATTCCGGCTATATTTGGCTACACTTGGGTACATTTGGGTAATTACTCGGACCCGTATTAGGGTGATCAATCTTCACCTAACCACATTCCTCTCACATCTCGTTCTTCCATCCCACAGCGACGCGGATATGCTGGAAAGCGTCGAAGAAAACCACTTCGTTCAGTACATCCCCATAGCTATCACAGTCCTCGTGCGATCACCCGTCTCGTGGTCCGAAGACAACAAGATCGCCGTCGTGACTCAGCTCGGGACCTACGTTTTCGTGAGTAATCCGTGTGGAGGTTCGTTGTGTAGGGTTAGCTGGCGTCTAGGAGCGGTCGGGAGTTGGACATCACACTTTGTTTGTTATTGAGATTAAAATACCCTAATGGTAATCTAACCTACCCAACCCTACCCTAACCTAACCTAATAATGGGGTAGCTCTTTTTCTGTCCAACTGTTAGATAGGGCGGAATCAAAGGCATTTCGTCAAATTAACTCTCCTCCTTTAGTTGATAATCTTTCTTCCCTTTCTCTTCACCACAATGTTGCTTCACTCTCTCTCTTTTACAGGTACTTTAACGGGCAATGTTCGGTGGATTTAGCATCCTGTGTACCGCCGGCAAGGCCGTGGGCTTGTAACACATCTTACCCACGGTGCCCACTGTGTCTCTGTGGATATCTGTCACACTATAATAACCCATTACAGTACCTCCTTCTTTCCTCACACTGTACAATGCTCTGCCTTCTTCTGTGTTTCCATACTCATACAATCTGCCTCACTTCAAAAAGCTGTTTTTCCCGTCATCTTCGCGGTGTAGATTAATATACAGTTAATCATTTCGTTTTCTATTCTTAATTTCTTTTTACTCTTATCCCCACCAGCCTGTGCCAGGTTGATGACCTGTGCTCGGGTGGGCTATTCCCCGTTAAAAAGAAACTAACCCTATTTAATCAATAACATTGGTAACCTTGAAATCCTAAAATTTGCCGGATAGCAAACAATGTAACAATCTATTTTAGCCAATTTTATCAATTTTTAATATTTTGTTTTCTTGAGGAGTAAAACTATATGAGGCTATCTTGCCAAAATATGAAATCAGCAACAATTAAAATCAAATAGGTATAGAAGTATATTTTATCAAGTAACAGGTGTCGTGTATGGCACAAACCAAGCTTTATAAAACAATTGTCTGTTGACCCTCCGTTCTTGAACTCAATCCGTTCCAGAAGGTCGTTCGTTAACCGAAAAGTTCGTTAACCGAAACCATTGTTTCAATGGGTTTTGGGTAATTGGTTCCAGCTCCCCGAAAATTTCCTAAATTCAACAAAAATGGTAGAAAAGCTCTCTACTTTGAGGTGTTTATGTAGAAGGCTCCTGGATGATGATGATGATGTGCATTTGAAGTGGGAGGTGGAGGAGAAGGGAGAAGAGAAGGAAGTGGAGGTGGAGGAGAAGCATTTTACTGTTTCTTGGAAGGTGAGTCACCTTCCATGAAAATGTCAGGAACCTCTGGACTGACAGATTCTCCACCATGAACATCCTCTCTCCTTGAAGTGGAAGGCTGAGGGATAGCATCTTGTTCCCTCTGCCTTTTACTGAAGAAAGTGTCAATTGTGGTCTGTGGGGCATCTCTCCTCCTCACCATTAACTTATGTTTAAAGAAGGAGACCACTGAGTCCTCAACATGACACAAAGTTAGTTCAGTTTTTTCCACTTCTGGGTGCTTTGAAGCCAGTTCCCTGAACTTCTCCCAGTAGTAAATCACATCTTTCAACCCTTTAGCCGACATATGGTCATCACTTTCAATTTCCTCCTCACCACTGTCAGCCTCTACCCGTAACATCTCATCCAGTTCCTTCAAGTCATCAGGAGTAAGTTCCTCCTCATGAGACATCACAAGCTCTTCCACATCCTCCTCCTCCACTTCAAGGCCCAATGACTGACCAATGGACACAATCTCCTGGTCCAACTCTGTTTCTTCCTCAAATCCCTCAAAATCACGGACTACTGATGGCCACAGTGCTTTCCATGAAGAATTGAGGGTTCTATTGGAGACTTCTTGCCATGATGACACAATCAATTTTACAGCCTCCAGGACGTTGAATTGTGTCTTCCAGAACTGTTTCAGTGTTAGTTCAGGATCAGTGGAAGTTGCCTGATGACACCTCCTAAACATTTTCTTCATGTACAGCTTCTTGAAGTTGCTGATTACATTCTGGTCCATTGGCTGTATGAGTGATGTAGTGTTTGGAGGCAAAAACAACACTTTCACAAAGTCAAATTGATACTCCAAATTGCTGGCAAGGTCAGGGTCATGACCAGGAGCATTATCCATGAGGAGAAGAGCCTTTAAAGGAAGTTTATTGGTGGTTAGGTAGCTCTTGACAGAGGGGCAAAACACATCAACAGCCCATTCATTAAAGAACTGTCTTGTCACCCATGCCTTACGGTTGGACTTCCAATAAACTCCAAGCTTTGTTCTTACCACTTTCTGTTGCTTGAACACCCTGGGGTTTTCAGAGTGGTAGACAAGCATAGGCTTCAGTCGGAAATCCCCTGAAGCATTGGCACCAAGCAATAGAGTGAGACGGTCTTTCATGGGTTTATGCCCAGGTAAAGAGGCTTCATCTTTGGTGATGAATGTTCTTTTGGGCATCTTTTTCCAGAACAGCCCAGTTTCGTCCACATTGAACACTTGCTGTGGAAGATAATTTTCTTCTTCCATCAGTTTTTTAAATTCAACTAAAAACTTTGCTGCCCCTTCTTTATCAGCACTAGCAGCTTCACCATGCCTAACAACACTGAAAATGTCACTTCTTTTCTTAAATTTTTCGAACCAGCCTTTGCTGGCCCGAAAATCTTCAAATTCTGTTCCTGAAGAACCAGGTTGATCTGCCTTTAAATGTTCATAAATCTCCCTGGCTCTTTCACAAATGAAATCACCAGAAACTGAATCACCTTTCATCTGTTTTTCCCTAATCCAGATGATAAGTAACCTCTCAGTTTCTACGATTAGGGATCTACTTTTAAACACTCTTGTAGATTTGTCTCTCACGTTCACTTCTTTAAATTTGTCTTTTTGTGCAAGAATTGTCGACACAGTTGATGCCGACATGCCATATTCTTTGCATAGCGCATTTGATTTAATGCCTTGTTCGTGTTTTTTTATTATTTCCTGCTTTATTTGGATTGAAATTGCTTTTCTTGATCTCTTAGGCCCCATGCTGGATTCAAACAATGGCAAACACGTATTTTTCAAAGTTAAACTAGCTGTAAATAAAGAATATTTTCTTTAAAATAACACTGCACTACATTATATATTGTCAATATATAAAATAATTTTCAAAATGACCAATAATTTGCTTGGAAACACAGAAAAAAAGCGTTTAGTTGAAGAGAGTCTCAAGCAAGATGTTACCTCCACTGAAAACAGAGAGAGACTAACGCCTGTTTGCTGTGTTAAGAGGCTGGATGCTGCGCATTAATCTAGTCACCTTACCTTCAATTATGTTCAATAATTGTTCAAATGACTAAAAAATTGAATATTAAACTTTTAAAATTATTGAATAGTATAAACTTCTTGATATTTACTAAAATAGTAAGGAATTTAAGCCCTAGAACCGATTAATGTATTGGCAGACTGATACTAAAGCTGGTTAACCGGTCAGTGCAAGCGAAAACATGTTGAGGTCGGTTCGTAAGAACTTCGTTAAGCGAAATTTTTTTCGTTAACCGAATTGAAGATCCTTATGGAAGGCAGTTCGTTAATCGAAATTGCATTAACCGAGGTGTTCGTTAAACGAGGGGTCACTGTATATTTTTTACCATTTTAAAAGACATTCTGTAGAAATATCATATAAATTTATGCTGAATATAGACTGTGTAGGTATATAAACAGTGTATCTAGACAGTGTAAGTATACAGTGTACCTAGACAGTGTAAGTATACAGTGTATCTAGACAGTGTAAGTATACAGTGTACCTAGACAGTCTAGGTAAACAAACAATATACCTAGACAGTACAGGTATACAATCATTAATGTGGTCGATCTTCAGGTGAAATAAGCTGGGGTCTTTAATCTTCAGGTGACTCATTTATTAAGCTGGGGTGTCTAATCTTCAGGTGACCACAATTATGTATTAAGCTGGGGTGTCTGATCTTCAGGTGACTGCAATCATTGGGTAATTTTTTATTATACCCGGTAATTTAATTGGGATTGAGGATTGTTATTGAACTGATCCCGTGATTTAATTTTGAGTGTGATTGACGAACTATACAGAGATGAAAGTCCATTATATCGAGGTTTCGTTAGCTGTAAAACCCCAAACTAACAGATTGTATAGAGATGAAAGTCCATTATATCGAGGTTTCACTGTACAGTATAGAATTATCCACCGTTCTATCATAATTCTGTGATTATTTAAGGATTATAGAATTATCCAGGACTTAATCCTAATTAGTCGGAGATAGAGACCGAATTGACGACGAAGGATTTATTTAATGTTTTTCTCGGCAGGGGAAGTGAAGCCAGACTGGGGCCCACATCTGCTGAGACAATAACACCACTGGCGTTTAAATCTCGGTGAAAAGTGAAGTGATTTTTAACAGTTTAATTAGAAATCCTTACAGTTATTGGTGGTTATATTGGTGATTGATAACAGTTTGGAAAATAACGCGTTTGGTACCAATTAAGTGTGGATTAGAACGCGTATATTACCAGTTAAAGTGCGAAACATAACACGTACAGTATTTGTTGTTGAAACTGTGGGTAATTGGCGATTAAAGTTATACTGTAATTGGTGATTTAAATCGGTGTGTCGTTAAGAATACCACGAAGGATGATATGCCCTTGTTACTCTGAGTTTTCGAAGAGGAAATTGTATCACTAAATCTGGACAAAAGTGTATCGGACATAATTCTATACCGGACAAAATTCTGTATCGGACATAATTCTATACCGGACAAAATTCTGTATCGGACATAATTCTATACCGGACAAAATTCTGTATCGGACATAATTCTATACCAGACAAAATTCTGTATCGGACATAATTCTATACCGGACAAAATTCTGTATCGGACATAATTCTATACCGGACAAAATTGTGTATCGGACATAATTCTATACCGGACAAAATTGTGTACGGTTTAGTCCGAGTGACGCGACCGGTAACCAAGATGGGAGCGTGTAGACAAAAGTCGCTCTGTCGGGTATTGTTTTTGTTTGTGGTTCTCTCGCCGTCGAGCGGAGTAAACATCACTAATATGGTGTTTGGGGGAGAGACCAATTACCTCCCGGCGGCCTTCGGAGACTTCAATTCGGACAAGTTGAATATTCCATTGATTCTGGGAGACGAATCAAAATTACCCGAACTCCGCTGAGCCCGACCCGGAGACCGGCCCGGTGTGTTCGTACTCCTCGCTCCGGATCAAGAGCATCATGCCCGGAGACTTCGACGGCAACGGGGCCATGGACGTCCTGCTGGTCTCCTACAACAAGGAACTGTCTCCGCACTACCAGGTGTTCCTCCTCTGGGGTAACCACAACATGAGCCTGGACTGTGGGTCAGAGCTACACCCTCTCCTCAACATCACGGGTCATCCTCTGGTCATGGACGTCAACGGGGACATGATCCCCGACTTGTTCGGCGAGGACGCCGCCAAGAACAGAACCTTCTGGATATTTAACTCCGAGCGGGAGCCTCCCACGGCGGTGCCGATGGTCGCACGCAACGGCACTCTGCCTCGACTCAAACGCCCGAGTTCCCACGCCTTCATCGACCTCAACGACGACCTGGCGGCCGACCTCTGGATCACCGCCGAGGGCAGTTTCGAGATCTCCAGCTCGACCAATGGCGTTTATGCAGTGGACGAGTCCATACGGCCCCCGGACGAGTTGAAGGTCATCGGCCAGACCTCATTTGCCGACGTGGATTTGGACGGGCACATCGAGGCGATAATCCCGGCCTGTAAAGAGAAGACCTGTTTGGGCAGCTCGACCGTGTTCGTCTACGACTTCGGCAGCGACTCTCCGTGGAAGGAACTGGACGTGAACTTCGTGGACCCGTCCGGCACCACCTGGGGCTACCCGTCCAAGGCCGACCCCAAGTACAGGTTCACCGACACCATCACCCCGCGCGTCGGAGACTTCAACCTGGACGGCTACCCGGACTTCCTCGTCACCCTCCTCGACGCCGCCGGCAACATCCAGGTCGTGTTGATGGAGAACGCTGCCAAAGACGGCACCTCGAACTACTCCCGCAAGTTTGTGCCCAAGTGGGATCTATTCAAGGCCTTCGGCAACACCGTCTTGGGCACTTTCTGCGACTTCCAGGAGGACGGAACGCTGGACGTCCTCCTGGTGTGCAAGGCGGACGACGGCAAGTACTACCTCAACGTGTACAAGGATGCCATCGAGTATGACGCCGTGTTTGTTAAGGTCAGTTTGTACAGCGAGCCGTCTGTCATAATAAACTTGATTTTGTTGGTCATTTATAAAGTGTTACAAGTCAAATACAATAGACCCCAGTTCTAATGATCCCCAGTTCTAATAGACCCCAGTTGTAAGATTCAATGCATAAGTATTTTAAAGTTATATAATTATCACCAGCGTGCAGTACAGTGACTCCTCTGTTAACGAACTCAATCCGTTCCAGAAGGTCGTTCGTTAACCGAAAAGTTCGTTAACCGAAACCATTGTTTCAATGGGTTTTTGGGTAATTGGTTCCAGCTCACCGAAAATTTCCTAAATTCAACAAAAATGGTAGAAAAGTTCACTTACTTTGAGGTGTGTGTGTATGTAGAAGGCTCCTGGATGATGATGATGATGATGATGATGATGATGGGAATTAGAATGGGGATGGAGGAGAAGGGAGAAGAGAAGGCATTGGGGTGGAAGAGAAGTCACCCCATGGCGCCATTTCACCCATAAAATTTTAGTTCTCTTGGTGTAATTCAAGATTATTTTCTTTAAATCAACGCTGCACTGCATTATATATTGTCAATATGTAAAATAAATTTCAAAATGACCAATAATTTGCTTGAAACACAGAAAAAGTTTGAGTTGAGAGTGTAGTCATTGACGAAGAGACCGCGCCTGTTTTTTCATGTTAACTGATTACATCCATACTTTTAATTTAAAATAAAATTGAATATTAAACTTTTAAAGTTATTGAATAGTATAAACTTCTTGATATTTACTAAAATAGTAAGGAATTTAAGCCCTAGAACCGATTAATGTATTGGCGGACTGATACTAAAGCTGGTTGCCCGGTCAGTGCAAGCGAAAACATGTTGAGGTCGTTGAGGTCGGTTCGTAAGAAATTCGTGAACCGAATTTTTGTTCGCTAACCGAATTGAAGATCCTTATGGAAGGCAGTTCGTTAACCGAGGCGTTCGTTAAACGAGGGGTCACTGTACAAAGTGGAAATATATTTGTATAGGAAATTTAGTGATATATATAATAGGTAATAATGGTTATATATAGCTCTTAGGGGTGCTATATAGCTCATAGGGGTGATATATATTGCTCATAGGGGTGATATATATTGCTCATAGGGGTGATAAAAACCTCATTTCCTCCCCTTCCCCCCAGGTTCTAATACCGACTGGCAGGTGCTACGGGGAGAAATGCCAGCTGAAACAGATCCCCTATGGCACAAACCAGCCCGGCCCGTCGATATCGTACTCCATCACCACGGCCACCGGCACCACCCAAAGCTCGAGGGCCACCCAGCTCTCCCAGACGGCCCACCACGCCCTACAGCTCCCATACACGGTCTTCGGCCTCGGTCGCAACTGGAACTTCGTCGAGGTAATGGAAGTCGGGATCCCGAAAGGCAATATATCCGACACCTTGAAGAGCAGTTTCACTCAGATCATCCCTAACTCGCAGCTGATCGTCATACCTTACCCCATGGACGAGCCGAACAGCTGGGTTAGCAAGCTCTTCATCACCCCAAGCAAGGCCATGTTGATGACAGCCGGGGCGCTCGTAGGGACGTGTCTCTTCGTGGCGGTCATCATTGGTATACTTCACCGTCGAGAGAAACAGCAGGACAAGAGAGAGAAGCAGCAAGAGGCTCATAAGTTCCATTTTGATGCTATGTAGTTCCTCTTCAGTTAATGCTATGTAGATCTTCTTCAGTAAATACTTTGATTCTTGTTCAGTAAATGCTCTGTAGATCTTCAGTAAATATTATGTTATTTTTCTTCAGTAAATACTATGTAGTTCTTCAGTTAATGCTCTGTAGTTCTTCAGTAAATGCTATGTAATTCTTCTTCATTAAATGCTTTGATTCTTGTTCAGTAAATGCTATGTAGATCTTCTTCAGTTAATGCTATGTAGATCTTCTTCAGTTAATGCTGTGTAGTTCTTCAGTAAATGCTTTGATTCTTGTTCAGTAAATGTTATGTTGTTCTTGTTCAGTAAATGCTAATTCTTGTTCCGTAAATGCTCTGTTGTTCTTGTTCATTAAATGCTATGTAATTTTTGTTCAATCATTGCTATGTATTTACTGTCAAATGAGGATAAATTATCCACTTCAGGCAGTATCCGAGTAACCAATACCCGACTTACGAAATTACTAATACCTGCACTTAGGAAAATCCGGAACGCAAATCCCATAATTTACGCAACTTTCATCACTCTGTTGTTTTACGTCGCTTTGTTTACAGATCGATTTACAAAGAGTAGAGTAATCCGTCGGTTACTCAGAGATTTGGTTACTCGGAAATTTGGTTACTCGGAGATTTGGTTACTCGGAGATTTGGTTACTCGAAGATTTGGTTACTCGGAAATTTGGTTACTCGGAGATTGTCTTTACATACAGTGTGTCACAGAAGATATATCACCTGAACATTAGACACCCCAGATTATTTCCGCTGACGATCGACCACCCTATGGGGTTAGATTAGGATGGGGGGGGGTAATCTTCAGGTGATCTTCTTTTCAATATGTATGTTACTATTGTAGCGAAACCTCTTTTAAGGGACTGTATAGAGATGATAGTCCATTATATCGAGGGTCTGTTAGATGTAAAACCTCCATATAACAAACTATATAGAGATTAAAGTCCATTATATCAAGGTTCTGTTAGATGTGAAACCTCCATATAATGAACTATATAGAGATGAAAGTCCATTATATCAAGGTTCCGTTAGATGTGAAACCTCCATATAATGAACTATATAGAGATGAAAGTCCATTATATCGAGGGTCCGTTAGATGTGAAACCTCCATATAATGAACTATATAGAGATGAAAGTCCATTATATCAAGGGTTCGTAATGGGCTATAGGTGTGTACAAGACATCTTAGAGCAAGAATGGCACAAAAACACTTTCTCTCGGTACAGCGCACGAAATGTTGGATAAAACAGCGGATAAGGCGCGGATGTTGCACGAGACCATCCGGATTATTGTGGATTATTACCTGAAACTCCCTGCGCCTCAGCGTCTGCTCTCGGAAACCTGTTCTCGGGGACAGTACACGTAAACAAACCGAGTCTTAACACATAATAGACCTTTGAAAGAGAATTGGGAACATATTTGATGTCTCTAAAATGATTGTGCTGAAGCATGGCATTAGTGAGACCAATTGCGTGTCTTCTCTCTCTCTCTCTCTCTCTCTCTCTAACTAGACGATTGGCTAAGATAGATCGTTAGAATAACCCCATCGGCCAAGATATCAAAGTCGTCTTAATATTTATACATGTATGAGCTTTGACCTATTTAAATATTGATCTAGTCTTTTGCAATATCTCTACAGTATGACGTGAAGTTTAGACACCCTAGTTTATTTGACCTGATGATTAAATAGATGAATGCTAACCTAACCAAACACTAACATAGCCCTAACCTAACTTTACCAACCTAATAGTGAACTAGCCCTAACTTAACTGAACCTAATACTAACTAAACATAACTTAACCAAACATAACATGACCCTAACTAAACCCTAACCTAACTTTACCAACCTAATACTGAACTAGCCCTAACTTAACTGAACCTAATACTAACTAAACATAACTTAACCTAACCAAACATGACCCTAACCTAACCTAACACTATGAGGTGAAATAAACTAGGGGTTTGGTGTGGGCTAATCTTCAGGTGGCCCCCTCCTCCCGCATCCCACCCCCAGAAAAAATTATCCTGTGAGTATACATAAGAAATGGTGTATGTATTATTTCCTATTTATATGACATTATTGTATACATATATTTTACCACAAGGCTTTATAAATAGTGTTTTATTCACCCTTCATCTTAATGTGTACCGAATGATGATGTTTGTATCCTCCCTGTAATGTATTGAGGATGGTTGTTAATACCACACAAGGTATTACAGGTTTACAGTCAATATACCTAGACAGTACAGGTATACAATCAATATACCTAGACAGTACAGGTATACAATCAATATACCTAGACAGTACAGGTATACAATCAATATACCTAGACAGTACAGGTATACAATCAATATACCTAGACAGTACAGGTATACAATCAATATACCTAGACAGTACAGGTATACAATCAATATACCTAGACAGTACAGGTTTACAATCAATATACCTAGACAGTACAGGTATACAATCAATATACCTAGACAGTACAGGTTTACAATCAATATACCTAGACAGTACAGGTTTACAATCAATATACCTAGACAGTACAGGTATACAATCAATATACCTAGACAGTACAGGTATACAATCAATATACCTAGACAGTACAGGTATACAAATCTGGTAAGCAGTAAGTCAATCAACTAAGGGTAACCAATAGAAGAATCCTTAAGCAGGAAGATTAATCCACAATATTTATCTAAAAAAAATATATAAATTACAGTTCATTATTACAGTACATTACAGTGACTAGTTGAGGTGGGTACAGCTTAAATAATGGGGACAGACTGTAGTTAAATATATACATAAAGTACTGTGTTAATTTAACCTTAGTTGTATATATTAACACAAGGGGTTATAACTACAAGCTGGTTAAGTTATATAGAATTAACATAAGGGTGATAATATTTTTGCACAGGCTAGTAGGCCTATGGAACAGTCTACCACCCCAAACTATGGAATGTCAGAACAATAACGAGCTTCAAAATACCCCTACACATGACCATCAATAACGCAAGTAGCCACGAGGTAGTAAATAACATCAAATAACGTAAATATATTCTGTAATTGTGACATCGGCAGGAACTGGAGTTGAACACGGAGGAATGCAGTCCCGTCGTGATATTTACGAGGACTTTTATCCCACCTCCCAACGAGCCGAGTCCCTTCAACGTTGGTAAGAAATTGTACCTCAGTTTAACTCTTGTCTATAAGCGATTCTATGCTAATTTATCTCTTTGTATTAGTGTTTGGGATGTTCCTCCTGTAGGCTCTGTCTACTCGTTAAATCATTGTAAATTGTCATGATGATTTTATTGAATATATGTTTATTGATCTATAGCGATAATAAAATGCTATGACAACGAGTAGAAATATCCACACGTACTTGTTCATATCCTCAACTTACACACACACACACACACACACGTAATCAATACCTGACCCCATGACAGGAATCGACATCAAGAATTTGGTCGAGGATGTTGACATACCTATGGGACACAAACTGATGCTCGACGGTCCTCTCTCGTCCTCCCGCCGCAGCCTCTCAGAACGGGATCCTCGCAACGTACGCAACACCTCCCCAGCCATGCCCGGAGGCGACACCAATCATTTGGGGTATCGACGGGGCGCTTGGTCTCCTTTCGGCGTCGGGAAGGAGGGCAGGTAAGGGAGAGATCCGAGTGACGTACCCTCTTCTATATACTGAAAATCACGCCCCATAGATGTATCCTATCCTTCACGAATCATTAATCAATATTTGTAAATCCTTCCCCACCCCACAGATGCATCCTAACCCTCGCCACGCACGACCACCGAGTGATCATCGTCGGTCGGGAAGGTCGGAAGTGGAAAACATTGTGGGATCTCTCGGCTCGGTGGCATCAACACGTGTCGGCTGGGTCTTGGGCGATGGTTGCGCTGCCACACAACGCCACGCAGCACCAGAAGTTCACCGCCCGGATGCACTTGTTGACGGTGTCGGGTTAGTGCATCTGTTTATGTGGGGTGTATTTAGATGGTGTTATTGATGACGGCTGCCACCAGAGGATAGAGAGAGAGAGAGAGAGAGAGAGAGAGAGAGAGAGAGAGAGAATGTACCAGGTAGATTGAGAGAAAGAGAGAGAGAGAGAATTGTTTTTATTGTACTGTATTATTATTATTATTATTATTATTACTATTATTATTATTATTATTATTATTATTATTATTATCATCATCATTATATATACTCTAAGATTATTCACCACAATGTTAAAGCCTCATACCATACTCAAGGCACCAATAATAGACCCCAAGCCTATAAAAACTAACGTCATTCACTAGATATTCGTCCTTACAGAATTCCTATGGATGCCCGTACAGTCAGATGCCCTGGGGAGGTCGAGCGTACTTATAACATTGACGGCTAGCGGCCACGCGGTGTACTGGCGTTTCCCTACGAATTTCAGCGGCTCGGAGAACGTAAAAATAGTTGCTGTAAGAGAGACTGGCGTAACGCTCATCTCCGCGGTCCATTGGTGCGCTGTAGGGGACAGTGAGGGTGAGTGGTATGGGGGTCAGAGGTTCATGTAAAGTTTAGTCACCCTAGTTTGTTTATTTTGACTTGACGGTTAAATATCTTGGTGTAATGTTTATTTGATCTGATTTGATGTATTTCACCCACTTATACACATATAATACATACATTCACCCCACTCACACACACACACACACACACACACCGGCCATTCATTGTTTACACTCCTCTATCCCGCCCCCCCAGGGTATCTGATCGTAGGAAGCAGCATCGGCCAAGTGAAAGGATTTTACTGTAAGCTGAATCACGAAAACGTCACATTAAAAGACCTCGGCTATGCCTTCGAGAGTAAAGACGGGTAAGTTAATGATGGTGTATGTATATGTATATGTATGTATATGTATGTATGTATGCATGAATATATGAATGTATATATATGTATGTAGTGTAAGCCATGGTAGACATTTCATAATTTTTAACTCTATGGATTAACCTGAATATTACTCCCCTCACCTAACTATCCACTTTACTATCCACTTTACTATCCACTTTACTATCCACTTAACTATCCATTTTCCCCGACAGGTTAAGGGTTAATCAAATACACCTCGGCCTCTTGAACGACGACCGCCATCTGTTATTGGTGTCGAAGCATAACATCTTGGTGGCTATGAACGTCGCCTTGACTCCCAACAGTCTCGAGGTTAAACACTCTTCACACGTCCACGCTGGCAAGCTCGCTGTATCAGGTTTGTGTTGGGTGTGTGTGTGTGTGTGTGGGTGGAATTGGTGTCTGTATGTGTGTAAAGAGATGGTGAACTTGAGTATGTGTGTGTGTATGGAGGGGTTGTGTGTGTGTGTGTGTGTGTGAGTGAGTGAGTGAGAAAGCCAACAATAATATACTTACATTACCACAAACGACTAACTCTCTCACTTCATCAACAACTAAATCATTTTTACTGTACTTAACATTAATAAATAAACTGTTAGTAATTTAAGTAACACATTTCTACTTACAATACTTATAATTACAGGTTTAGTAGTGATGGGGGAGACCAATGTTTACTTATCGATCAAGGACGGAACGATTCAACACATCTCGGTGAACGTGCTAGATACCGGCGAACTGACCCTAAAGGAACACGGGTCGGTCTTCCGTTCCGAGGGCGTGTCGTATACGGGCCTGACGACGTCCCCGAACAAGGCCCTTTGGGGTTGCCTCGAATCGTGAGTCTCAATTCGTTATTTGTGTTTTTTTTTTATTTCGTATCGGGGTAATGATTTGTTTGGTCTTGTTTATATACCTGTACTGTCTATGTATACATGCACTACCTTCTATACATAATGAATCAAATGAAACTTGAATGAAATTAACACCAAATAAAAATAAATAACGGACCTAACGTACTCCACCCCCTCACCCCCCAGAGTTAGCGTCGCGTACGATCATCTGGTGATGCGCGAGCCGACTCAGATCACCCTATACCAGATGGGTCGATCGTCGGACATCATGCAACACATTGTGGAGAGTTCGGCGCCCCTACACCGCAACGTCGATCTTATGGAGAGTCTCAGGTGAAGTGGGGGGTAGAGAGAAGTGTCTTGGGCTCGTTGTGATGTCCAAGTCTGTTATTTTATGCAACAACTTTTGCCCGCTACTACCACAACCGCCACCACCACCACTACCACCGCCACCACAACCACCCTCACCATCACCAACACATCATTTAACCTACCCTACCCTAATCTAACCTAACCTACCCTAACCTACCCTACCCTAATCTAACCTATTTCCCTCCCGCAGGATCGCCATACACAAGGACGGAGTGACCCCAGTGATTCACGTACAAGCTGACGAAATACCCACGTTGTCTCTCCAGTCAATCAAGGTCAGCTATTGGTTGGCCAAGATGTCCCGGAAGATTTGGGTGACAGATCGAGCGACTCACGAAATATTGGTACGTGGCGCTGCGATGCTTTTATTTTGGTCTGACGGGATTTAATCTAACCAAACTTACCCCCATACTAACCTAACCTAACCAAACTTCCCCCATACTAACCTAACCTAACCAAACTTCCCCTCATACTAACCTAACCTAACCAAACTACATACCTCTTTACTCGACAGGACTCCACCGAACCCAAACTCCAAACAGCGATCCTAACACTGGATAACCGAGGTGCTCATCCGTTCAGCCAGACGCAGTTATCACACGGCCATCCATCGTTTCTCTCTGTCTCTCATGTGTCGCTGGATGATGGAAAACGGAACTGATGAAAATAAACAGCTGGCCGTAGGTAGAATTGGATCACGTGAGGATTAGCCTCCACCCTCCTCCCCTAGAATATATATACCCTTATGCCATGCTCTAATGAACTATATAGGGATGAAAGTCCATTATACCGAGGGTCCGTTAGATGTGAAACCTCCATCTAATGAACTATATAGAGATGAAAGTCCATTATATCAAGGTTCAGTTAGATGTGAAACCTCCATCTAATGAACTATATAGAGATGAAAGTCCATTATACCGAGGGTCTGTTAGATGTGAAACCTCCATCTAATGAACTATATAGAGATGAAAGTCCATTATATCAAGGTTCAGTTAGATGTGAAACCTCCATCTAATGAACTATATAGAGATGAAAGTCCATTATATCAAGGTTCCGTTAGATGTGAAACCTCCATCTAATGAACTATATAGAGATGAAAGTCCATTATATCAAGGGTCCGTTAGATGTGAAACCTCCATCTAATGAACTATATAGAGATGAAAGTCCATTATATCGAGGGTCCGTTAGATGTGAAACCTCCATCTAATGAACTATATAGAGATGAAAGTCCATTATATCGAGGGTCCGTTAGATGTGAAACCTCCATCTAATGAACTATATAGAGATGAAAGTCCATTATATCAAGGGTCCGTTAGATGTGAAACCTCCATCTAATGAACTATATAGAGATGAAAGTCCATTATATCAAGGGTCCTATATTGAGATGAAAGTCCATTATATGTGAAACCTCCATCTAATGAACTATATAGAGATGAAAGTCCATTATATCGAGGGTCCGTTAGATGTGAAACCTCCATCTAATGAACTATATAGAGATGAAAGTCCATTATATCAAGGGTCCGTTAGATGTGAAACCTCCATCTAATGAACTATATAGAGATGAAAGTCCATTATATCAAGGTTCCGTTAGATGTGAAACCTCCATCTAATGAACTATATAGAGATGAAAGTCCATTATATCAAGGGTCCGTTAGATGTGAAACCTCCATCTAATGAACTATATAGAGATGAAAGTCCATTATATCAAGGGTCCGTTAGATGTGAAACCTCCATCTAATGAACTATATAGAGATGAAAGTCCATTATATCAAGGGTCCGTTAGATGTGAAACCTCCATCTAATGAACTATATAGAGATGAAAGTCCATTATATCAAGGGTCCGTTAGATGTGAAACCTCCATCTAATGAACTATATAGAGATGAAAGTCCATTATATCAAGGGTCCGTTAGATGTAAAACCCCCATCTAATGAACTATATAGAGATGAAAGTCCATTATATCAAGGGTCCGTTAGATGTGAAACCCCATAAATCACTCATTATATGGAGAAATAAATCCGTTATATGGAGGTTCCGCTGCTGTATGTTTACCATAATTTACTACATCAACCATAGTAATTGTTTTTCCTCCGTTGTTATTTTTTCGTATTATTAAATCATTGTTTACGCACCCCATACAGGAATTATCGAGGCAGTTGGGACGCGTCGAGGAGGAATCGTGTTTGGTGTGTCGGGAAGTCGTACCGATTGATTCTCTTACCCACGGCAAATGTAAAAATGGTAATGTGAATCTTTTACCTGATGATTAGACACCCTAGTTTATTTTAATTAAAGATTAGACACCCTAGTTTATTTTACCTGATGATTAGACATCCTAGTTTATTTTACCTGAACCTTAGACACCCTGATACCTACCTAACCTAACCTTTCATATTGAGTACAATTTCCTAATACCTTTGAGTACAATGTTACCCCCCCTAGAGTACATTTGCCTACCGATCGAATTATTTTTAACGTTGCCGACACACTGGACCTTATAACCAACGCTCGTTTCTCCCGTCCGCAGGTCACACGCTCCCGAGATGTTGCCGGACTCTACTGCTGACGAGACCTATCTTGCTATGCCCCAGGTGTCAGCTCTTTGTGCATAAGGAGGCCGAGTGTAAGGGTCTTATCAGTAAAACAAACGTACAGTCCCCTTCGCTAGTGTGTTTACAGGGGCTGGTCATATAGCCTTGGTACAGTCCCCTCTAACCGTCAGTCCTGGGTTCGATCCCCAGCTTAAACGACAGACCCTAGTGGTATGAAATTAAACCCTAGTCCCTATTATGTTAAAACCAATTAAAACACAGTTAAACCACCCCATTTCCCCATTATATTAAACCATTTCCTCTCCCCCATTACAGATCTGGACTCGGAAACCTCGGCTACGTGTGCATACTGCGACGGTTTCGTGATCAACAAACTAAACGCGAGGTCACAGCCCCGCCCTGAGAGCAAGAGGGCCGTCGTCAAGCTACCACACGGTCATCACTCGAAACACGGCAGGAGAAATCATTAAAAAGTGTTGCAAGGAGTCATCGTATTCGTGGGGTCATCGTAGTTAAGAGGTGGGGGTCATTGTGTTCAAGGGGTTAAATCATCATACTCAAGGGGTTAAATCATCATACTCAAGGGGTTAATTCATCATATTCAAGGGGTTAAGTCATCATATTCAAGGAATCATCTTACTTAATCTATGTTTCTTCTCTCTCTCTTTCTCTCTATCCATCTATTCCAATCTCTCAACCTCTCTATTTATCATTTTTCTATCTATCTATAAACAAGAGTCCCCAGGTTATATGCGAGTCCCATTCCTACAGACGGTCACAAGTCAAAACACACCTTATATACATACCATCTTTACAATGTTTAAAATCCTACTCATTCATAGTCTATGTTCTTGTATTCATTTAGCATCACATAATATAAGTTAAAGAAGAAATAGAATGATAAAATATAGTAATTGAAGGTAAGAACTAGTCAGGGTAGTAGGTAGCTATCAAACAGGGAGGTACTACGGCCTGGGATGATATTTGAAGCATAATGTACTGTCTAATGTGCCTGGGGTCGGATAATCCCTGTAAAAATTGCGTGAAGTTAATGTTTGTTTTTATGGGACCGCGTTCGTTTTGGCAGATGTTTGTTTGTAAGTCTGACACATGTAAGCTGGACATGGCTTTTATAGATCTATTTCTTTCTCTCTATCTTCCTATCTCTCACACTGCCTCCCAAGTATATGCTACCAAAAGGACTAATTAATTTCTGTTTAATATATATTTTTTTTTAGTCTAACAAATTTTGTGTATAGGAAATTTAGTTCATATATGTGTTTGATGTAAGGTTATATTTTTTTATGGTCGCCTGAAGATAAGACCCCCTTTAGTTTGTTTCACTTGAGAGTAATTGTCCTAATGGTAATCTGACCTAACCCCTCAGGTAGTTTAAGGGTGAAATAAACTGGGGTGTCTAATCTTCATGTCGTTCTTAAGATGTAAAAGATGTCTGAGAAATATATCGACGGGAAGCATAGCAGGGACTGATTTACGCGTTGTGTGAACACCTTCGAGATCCCAGCTCATCGACCGTAACTTACCCCAAAGGTGAATTTATTGCGGGGAGTCGTCACTTACGCTGCGAACGATGACGGATACGTTATACATTAGTGTTATTTTTTTCGATGGTAGTTCGGAGTGTAAATAAATACAGATTATTACCAAGACAATCAGTTCACGTCTAGGCATTTTTTCGATGGTTTGCGAGTTTTCATAGTTTAAGATCAGTTGTTTGCGAGTTTTCATAGTTTAAGGTCAGTAGTATGACTTATTTGTAAACACACTATTATGTTAATAAATATACATTCTTTATATTATATTTATTATCACACAAGAAACTGTTTTTGTTGGCTTGGACTAGAGTACTTCCGCACTAAGCTGGCCCATAAGCCACGCCCCTCGTCTATAGCAACAAATAGCCAATTGGTTCCCCCGAGCATTTTACCTTCCTCAGGACTGCACTGATTTATATCGATCTTTCATAATAAATTTCTAACATCCTCTGAAGTGCTAATGCCTTGAGATCATTTACATAGTCCAGATATTTTATATAACAGATCTGCTTACCAATGAGAACACAGTTTGAAATTTCTATGAACCAATCAGCTCTTAGTATAGAAGATGGGCGTGGCATAATGGCAAAGTTGGTGTAGAAAGGGTATATGTAGCATCTGTTTGTATCCATTCATATATGTAACCTAACCTAACTAACCATTATCACCTCGTTCCATCATGGGGGAGTAATTCTGAATGGCATATCTCTTGGTAATTTCTGTGTAGCTTAACTTATCCTGATGTTAAGTCATTTCTATACCACAATATACTAGTACACTGTCTTGCCATATTAGTCTACCTGTCATCCACAAGAAAAGGTATGACCCAGTGTTTAAGCTGTCACCAACACACCCTGAGTTCACAAGCTGTATGACCCAGTGTTTGCTGTCACCAACACACCCTGAGTTCAAGTGTATGACCCAGTGTTTGCTGTCACCAACACACCCTGAGTTCACAAGCTGTATGACCCAGTGTTTAAGCTGTCACCAACACACCCTGAGTTCACAAGCTGTATGACCCAGTGTTTAAGCTGTCACCAACACACCCTGAGTTCACAAGCTGTATGACCCAGTGTTTAAGGTGTAGAAGCTGTCACCAACACAACAACCACACCCTGAGTTCACAAGCTGTATGACCCAGGAAGACCAGACAACTCACCAACTGCACTGGCTAACCATTACCCCAAATCACATTCCAAGTTTCCCAATTACTGTCAAATACACAAATCCTAAATAATGAAAGGCAAATAAATTCCTTAGTGTAAAATCATGTAAAAATGGACAAATTCCTTTTATAATCTTGGTAATATAACACCAATATAACCAGACTATAGATATATTTTATGACTACACTATAACACTATCCAGCATTAACTTCTCATATACAACTTAAAATAAATAACATAATTTAGATTATTAACCCATTTCTTTAACCCTTAGGAGAGGTAGCCATCAATAATAATAATAGCGGGAAATAAAAAAAAAACCGACTTATTTTAATGCATCTTTATTTCATTTTTTTTTCCGTCGCCAAACAATCGCATCTTTTACGAGTTGCTGTTAGGGCCGCGCTTCTTGCCGAAGGTCGCCACAACGTTGACGAACCGACGGTTATACTGGATCCTGCGCTTGGCTCGACCTGTCTTGGCCTTCTTCTTCTCTTTCTTTTCTACCTTGGGGGTTTGACCTTTGACCTTGCCGGCACGAGAGAGCGAGCCGTGGACCTTACCTGAGAGAGAGAGAGATTAATTTTAGAGCTCGCAGTTTATTAAAGAGAGAGCGAGAGAGCGAGAGATCCTTACTTGAGACAGAGAGAGAGAGAGTTTTAATACTTCAATAGGAACTAATCTTCAGGTAATGTCCGGGAGAAATTGAAGCATTATAGATACAAATTAGAATATAATGAACCACCGTCGAGTATAATGAACCACCGCAGAGTATAATGAACCACCGTCGAGTATAATGAACCACCGCAGAGTATAATACAACGTAGGTATTTACACTAAGGGCCTCGGATAACTTACCTCCCTTGAGTGTGACATTGACGTCGATGGCATCGGTCGTGAGGGCGGATAGTGCGAGGGCATCGTTGTCCAATGGCGAGCCGGCAGCATAGAGCCTTACCTGTCGGAACAAAATTTGATTAGAGTGACAGACAGAGAGAGAGAATTTCTAGTACTATAGGGTATATTAAGAGTGGTTAAGTTAGGTTAAAGTTTGAATACAAGAGGTTAAGGTCAAGTTAGGTTAAGTTATGATAGGTTAGGTTAATGTTAGGATATACAACGTTAGGTTAGGTTAAATTCAAGATAGTTTAGCTTAGGTTAAAGTTAAATTATATTATAGTTTGGTTAAAGTTAAATTACATTATAGTTTGGTTAAAGTCCAGTTAAATTACATTATAGTTTGGTTAAAGTCAAGTTAAATTACATTATAATTTGGTTTAAGTCAAGTTAAATTACATTATAATTAAGTTAAAATTAAGTTAGAACAGAATAGATTAAACTCAGGTTAGGGGGAGGGGGACAACACCAACCTCGGCCTGTGGGAGTTGCTCGGCCTGGCAGATAAAGGCTCGCACGTCGGCCACTGTCTGCTGCTCGGCCACATCAAGCACGTGGGTCGCACCGGAGCGTACAAAGATCTGCATTATGGTACCTGTCGACCAAAACACACTTATTACCACCAGTGTTTAGTTTCACCTGAAGATTAAACACCCCTAACCTAATCCTAACCTAACCTACAACCGGACAAATAGCCAGACGTAATATTCTCTTATTTAACCAATTTTAACCTATTTATCTGTTTAAATATAATAAATAACAACTAAATACAAATAAAATCAAATAAAAACATTAATACATTGTTAAAATAAGTAAAATAAGACGACCCTAAAAACCATCTTATTTCTCTTATTTTAACGTATTTCTGTGGTTATTTTACCCAATATATTAACATAAAATAACATTAACATCAATAAATCGATAAAATAAACCCAAAAAATCACCATAAAATCCAATAAATAACAAAAATAACCAAAAACATTTCACCACGTTAAAACACACGTGATAAAACCCCCCTTATTTAACCTTATTTCCCCACGTTAATCACCTTATTTAACCACAATTACCGAACTCAGATGATAGATAAATAACAGAGGATGAAGTAGAATAGGATAAATAGGTTGGATAAAGGTAGAAAAAGGGAGAAAATAGGGAAAATATGAGAGGGTACTGACACTCAAGATGGCTGGGTGCTGAAGAGATGTTATGGAAGGAGGAAGACTCAGACATTGGTTCTTTTTCATTAATTTCTAAGTAAATATACCATAAAATATAACAAATAATATATATAATTAACTAATATATTTTTTTTAATTAATTATAAGTATTTTTTTTTAAATAATTTTAGTTGTTTTAGTTTATTTTATGATTTTAGTTAATTATTCTTTTAATTAGTTTTCTAAGTAATTATAAATAGATGGATGTTATTTAATATTTTCTATGGTATATTTTAATTTTATTTTGTATTTTTATTAATAATTTACGTAATTTTAGATTATCATTTACTAGATTTTAATTTTAATTTATTTATTGTCAGGACAGGAAGCTAATGACCCAAATTAACCACCAAATTGGCTAATATAAACTACAGGAAGATCTCTAACGACTCGAGGGGTAGTTAGAGGATGGAACAAGCTCGTTTAATATGCCCGTCATTAACAGAGAGCCACAGGATGATCACTGAGGCCAAACAGCAGGGCATAAAGTGAGTTATTTTTACCATTTAATTATTTTCTAAGTAGACAGACAGACAGACAGGTAGGTAGACAGACAGGTAGACAGACAGGCAGACAGATGGACAGACAGGTAGGTAGACAGACAGACGAACAGGTGGTAGGTGAACCAGACAAAGACAGAGTAAGGGAGACCAGACCAGACAGAGTAGAGTAGACAGACAGACAGGTGAGCAGACAGACAGGTAGACAGACAGACAGACAGGTAGGTAAGAACGGGGTGAACAGGTAGGTAGACAGACAGACAGGTAGACAGACAGACAGACAAGACAGACAGACAGGTGAACAGACAGACAGACAGTGATGAACAGAAAGACAGGTAGGTAAACAGACAGGTAGGTGGGTGACAGACAGACAGGTAGGTGAACCGAACCAGAGCAGGTAGGCTGAAAGACAGACCGTAGGTGGAACAGAACCAGACAGACAGGTAAGGTGAACAGACAGACAGGTGAGTGGACAGACAGACAGGTAGACAGACAGACAGACAGGTGGTGAACAGACAGACAGGTAGGTGGGCAGACGAAAGGTAGGTAGACAAAGACAGGTAGGTAGGTAGAACAGACAGACAGAGTAGACAGACAGACAGACAGGTGGGTAGACAGACAGACAGGTAGGTGAACCAGACAGGTGAGACAGACAGACGGTGGGTAGACAGACAGACAGGTAGGAACAGACAGACAGGTAGACAGACAGACTGAACCGGTAGGTAGACAGACAGACAGGTGGTGAGACAGAACAGAAGGTGATGAAGACAGAACAAGGTAGGTGATACAGACAGACAACAGTTGATGGACAGACAGACAGGCCAAGGTAGACAGACAGACAGGTAGGATGGACAGACAGGTGGTCAGACCAGCCAACAGACAGGGTAGACAGACAGAATGAACAGATGGAGTAAGACAGACAGACAGGTGGGCCAGACAGACAGACAGATGAACAGACAGACAGACAGGTAGAGTAGACAGACAGACAGGTAGGTAGACAGAGACAGACGGGTGGGTGACAGACAGACAAGGGTGGAGTAGGTGAACAGACAGACGGGTAGGTGAACAGACAGACAGGTGGCAGTAGAACCGAGACAGGAGTAGGTAGACAGACAGACAGACAGAGCAGACAGACAGGTAGGTAGACAGACAGACGGTGGGTAGAACGAAAGAAGACAGGTAGGTAGAACAGACAGACAGGTGATGAACAGACAGAACAGGTAGACAGACAGACAGACAGATGGTGACAGACAGACAGGTGGTAGAACAGACAGACAGGTGAGTGAGCAGACAGGTAGGTGGTGGGCAGACAGACAGGGCAACAGACAACAGACAGGTGGAACAACAGACCAGGTAGGTAGACAGACAGACAGGTAGGTAGACAGACAGACAGGTAGACAGACAGACAGGTAGGTAGGGCAGACAGACAAATAGACAGATTCCTAACCAAACAACAACTTACATCTGTCTATAAACTCAGGCACTACCACCACCACAGTTTGTAATATTTACGATACTTTAGAAATCTGTTCACCTGCACTACGCCTTGTCCTGTCATGTGTGTGTGTGTGTGTGTGTGTGTGTTATATACATGTGTGTGTGTGTGTCTGGGTGTGTGTACGTGTGTGTGTGTTTGGTAGGGGTGTGAGACGTGAGGGTATATATTGTGTGTGTGTGTGTATTATTATTTTTTTTCCTAGGATGGTCAGGATTGTGTGTATATGTGTGTATGTATGTATGTATGTATCTTAGAACTTTCTCCTAGATTATACAACAACACCTACTTTCTCTAATGTACTTTCCTGAGTAAAAACACACGTAAGTCTCATGCATATTTATCCAGGGCATCTGACCTGAATTGATGTGAGAGGGAAGTGAGAGGGAGGAGAGTGAGGAGAGAGGGGAAGGAGGGTGGGAGAGGGGAGGGAGGGGAAGGGGGTGGAGGGAGGGAGGGAGAGAGAGTGAGGGAGAGGGAGAGGGAAGGAGGGGTGGAGGGAGGGAGGGTGGAGGGAGGGAGGAAGAGGAGGGGTGTGGGGAGGGAGGGAGGTGAGAGGGAGGGAGGGAGGAGGGAGGGGTGGCGGGAGGGGAGGGAAGGGAGGGTGGGAGGGGAGGGAGGGAGGGAAGGAGGGTGGAGGGGAGGGGGAGGGAAGGGAGGGGGTGGAGAGGGAGGGGAAGGAGGGAGGGAGGGAAGGAGGGTGGTGGGAGGGAGGATGGGTGGAGGGAGGTGGGAAGGGAGGAGTGGAGGGGGAGGGAGGAGTGAGGGAGGAGGGAAGGAGGGGTGGGGAGGGAGTGAGGGAGAGAGGGAAATAGGGGTGGAGGGAGGAGGGAGGATGAGATGAGGATTGTGGTACCTGACCTGACAGCCTAGCCCACCCTAACCTAAACCCAATCCGCTTTCATCGACATATACTCACTCCTGATTGGACGAGAACATAGAAAACATTAACGCTGATTGGCCGAAAATCCACTAATCACAGATCTAAGTTTTTAATATATACCAAACAGTACGACTTGCTACGGAGAGAGAGAGGTTATAGCCAACAACTTGAGCCTGAAATAAAACTTTTAGAAGTCGGGTGATCTCAAGAGAGCACACAATCTTGGTGACCAGCTGGGTCTCTCTCTCTCTCTCTCTCTCTCTCTCTCTCTCACTCTCTCTCTCTCTCTCTCTCTCTCTCTCTCTCTCTCTTCTACTAACAACAACAACAACAACAGCAATAAACACGAAATCCAATGACGTCATCGAGTCAAAAATGTAAATAAACAAAGAACAGCTGATTGACTAGACCAGCGGGTAGTGACGTCATAGGCAGTAGAAATAGTCAATACCTATCACTATTATCCTATCTCAGGGGAGGGAGGGTGAGAAATGTCGTTGTTATTGTTAGTAGTAGAGGAAACAGATAGACAGACAGACACAGACAGATAGACAGACAGACAGACAGACAGACAGAAACAAAAAGGGAAAAAGAGTGAATTAGACTAACACACACACACACACACACACACACACACACACACACACACACACACACACACACACAATAGGGTCAGGATTTAAACAGGACTAACTGGGCGCCGATATGTCTGACTGTCAAGGAAGCCTGTCTGCTAACCCACTCACCCCCCTTCCCTGTCTCTTCCCTGTCTTGTTTTGTGAGGGTTGCCAATGGGAGAGTTTGAATAATTTAAGAATCTGTCTGTCTGTCTGTGTCTGTCTGTCTGTCTGTCTGTCTGTCTGTCTCTCTGTCTTTCTTATGTCTGTCTGTGTCTGTCTGTCTGTCTGTCTGTCTCTCATATGCCTGTCTCTCTGTATGTCTGTCTGTCTGTCTGTCTCTCTGTCTGTCTGTCTGTCTGTCTGTCTATCTCTGTCTGTCTGTATCTCTATCTGTCTGTCTGTCTGTCTGTCTCTCTGTCTCTCCTCTGTCTGTCTGTCTCTCTGTCTCTCTGTCTGTCTGTCTCTCTGTCTGTCTGTCTGTCTCTCTCTCCTGTGTCTGTCTGTCTGTCTCTGTCTGTCTGTCTGTCTGTCTCTCTGTCCTCTCCTGTCTGTCTGTCTGTCTCTCTGTCTCTCTGTCCTCTGTCTGTCTCTCTGTATGTCTGTCTGTGTCTCTCTCTGTCTCTCTGTCTCTCTGTCTGTCTCTCTGTCTGTCTGTGTCTGTCTCTCTGTATGTCTGTCTGTGTCTGTCTGTTTGTCTGTCTGTATCTCTGTCTGC